GACTGATCTGCCTCACCCGGGAAGAGTGCAATGATGGTGTCAACTTGGGCCAGTGAAGCAACGTCCTCCACAGCTAGACTGAAGAACAAAAAGACAGCAACTTGTCTGTTTCCCTTCCCCCAATTCCCCAGCGCTGTTCCCATTCCCCAATTTCCCAATAAAAGTCTTTAAACAAGAAAGAGCAATTAAAAAAAAATACCCTGTATAAAAAATAGAAGAAACTGAATTCACCTCAGTGTTGTATTAAAAGAGGAACCTTATATTGAGACAGTTTATGCCGGATCTAATTCAGGAATTTAAAGGAAATGATGAAAAGATATTGGTAATATGAAAGTATAGGTATGAGCAGCTTTCTGACTTTAATTCTTGTGTAATAATTATTTAAAAGAGTCTGAAATTGAACACCCACTTAGATATTAAATGTAATTTTTTATAGCCCCAGTTATCCATTTGTGGAAGAGGATGTTACTATTTGTCTATCTTTCATCATGAAATTATTTTTGGAAATAGGATGAGGAAAAGAATGCCTATTTTTGGAAGGCATTCCTTTAAAAGAAAAAGTCATGCATGATAATACTCATTTTCTTGTTTTTTATTGCTACATTGAAGACTGAAAGTAAACAGAAAACTGGAAGGTACAAATTACTATTGTGATTGTTTTTCCTATTTTCTTTCCCCAAAAGGATGGGCAAATCGATGCTGATGAATTGCAGAAATGCCTGACAGAGTCAGGCATTGCTGGAGGATACAAACGTAAGTTGACCATCCCAAAGTTTCTCTGGTACTCTTGCATTTCATATTGTAGCTGTTACTTGTGATTATAGATTTCAAGGAAGCTGAGCTTTTCTGATCCAGTAACATTTAGAATTTCAAAAGCTAAACTCAGTTTATTATTTCAAAATGTGATTTTGGAAACAGGTCTTAATAAGTCAGTCCACATTACCTGCCAGTTAATTGGGTTTTTTAGATTTGAGTTCCATGTGTCTGGAGCCAATCGAAGCAGGGACAATTTATGTGACCTGCTTCACAGAGGACAAGTTAAGGTGCTGAAGCGAAATATGCCAGGTCAAGTGTCATTCATGATAGGAATGTCAATGAAAGAATGTTCAGCCTATAGAAAAGTTTTATAAGAGTTTGTTTGAGCCAAAATTTTGAGGACATGCCCAGAAGCAAAATCTCAACAGGTTGAGAAAATGCTCCTGAGAATGGCAGTTTGGCAGCTTATTTTATACATTAGATTCAAAGGAGGAGACGCAAGGAGGGTTACATGAAATCCATTGGTGGTAGATTAGGGAGGTGGGAGAAAGCAAAGTGGGGAAATCTCTGGGATTGGATAAAAAGTAAAATGGAGATACATACTTCTTTTACATTGGTGGGTACAGGATAGTTAATTCACATTTACAGCACATAGAGGTGGTATTCAACAAGATAACAATGAGGGATTCTGTGGTCTCCTGCTCTGGTCTTATGCTCTGGTGCCTGGGGTTGTGCCTTAAGGGGTCTAGAAAAGAAAATTACTCTAACATTTCCAAGGTATGTTTCATAGAAGCCTAAGAACAATGTAAGATCAAGATTGACCTTTGTTTGCCAAGGAAGATAGAAGACGGGACTGTCCGCCATGGTCTGTCCAGTTAGGAATTGATGAGACCATCCTATGTGGTTGGTCACTGAGCTTGTCAGGCCTGCCATGTGCCCCCCCCAATAGTTTGTGAGGTTTATAATGTAGCTCCTTTTTCATTCACACTGGCTAACATTTACTGCTGTTTGCCAAGAGCTTTCTTTGTCCCGAGCCTGGTGGCGCTTAGGGCTTAGAGTGCCTGGCCCTGTGCCCTTGGTGCCCAGGTGGCCTGCCCTGCACTCCTAGTTCTGAGCGGTTGGTGTCCGCCACCGTGGTCCTCAAGGAACTAGTTTTGAGCTCCTGGTCTCTGAGCTGCTGGCAACATGTGTGCTTGCCATGATGTTCACCAGCCCTTTCCTCTTTCCTCTTTCCACTAAAGACAATGTGTTTGAGCTAAGTAAGATATACCCTTCTTAATTTCTGAACTCTTTACTAGTCCTCCCCACCCCTTTGTCAGTTCCTCACAGAGTGGACCTGCTGCTTTATAACTCAGCACTTACACCACCTTGGATGTACCACCTCTGCCACGAGCTACACATAGGGAACCATTGCAAAGACACTGCATCCTGACAGGGGGCTTCGCATCACCCCCATGATCTTGACCATGACAAATATCCAGGGTCGAGAACAGTGTCTTGACTGAAGTGCTTTAGTTGCTAACTTCTTTGCCAGTTGTTAATTGAGGCAGAAGAGAAGTCCCAACTTCCTTGTATACTATGAACTAAAATGCTCAAACTCAAATCCACACCCAAGGATTTACAGGGGCATTTTTTGACTGTTTGACATGGCACATTTAGTAGCTGTCTCTCTTTTTAAACTGTTTGCATTTCTGTTTTCATCCTTTGTTTTATGTGACTTCAGTATCCTATTAATATTTCCTAGTGGGGGAATTAATATAAAACAGGAACGTTTTGCATTTCTGTCATTTAATCTGGTCCTAAGCAACAGAAGCACTTTCTAGATTAGGGGATTTTTTTATTATTGTAGGCAATACATTGTTAATTGTTAACCGTAAGCAGTTGGGGCCAGTGCCAAAGGTCTAATAGCAGGGTTTATAAAGCTGAGCTATGTCACAGCGTACACTATTATTCTACACTCTTTCAGTAGGAGGTGTGGTAGATTTGAAAACCTAACAAAGTGGGTTGTATATCCTTGGAGAGCATTCCTTTTAAATATTTCATTTGAGAAAGCTACATTTAGTGATGGCCTTAGGCAACTGAGCTGTAGAGAAGACAGTTCCTGAGTCATCAGGACGATGGGATTGAATTAATTTGCTGACTGTCAGCTGGTGGTGGAGGCCGTCATGAACCACAAAACCATCCTGCATGAGAGGTGTCAGAGTGAGTTTTGCAATACAGAAATTATACATTAATGGGTCTTTGAAACCCAGCTTCCAAACCAAAATAGTACAGGTGTGTGTGGGGGGGATGGGGGGTGGGAGAGGGGGGGAGCAGTGGAGGGGATACTGTAGCCCAGTACTTACAGGCACCTTTTTAACTAGTTTAAAAGGAAGTGGTCATACCTAGAGGTGGAGTTAATGAGGACGGTTGCTCTAGTCTGTAAGACAGTAATTGAGCTCTCTTTTTTTTCCTTGAGTGTAGTCGTTCCTCTGTGGTACTGTTGAGAAAAACAGCTGGAGGTAGGGCTTTCCTGCTAGGCCTGTTACATTGTGGATTTCTGCTAGAAGAAAAGATGTTTGAGGCATTCTAGTAAAATGAATAGGAGAAAGAGTAAAATTACAGCAAAGATTGTTTTGAAATTATTTAACATCGAATTAGCATTAATGAAAGCTATTTGTGGGGGAAAAACTACAAGTCGAATTGAGCAAGTTTCCTCACCCTAACTTATTAGACATCAGCATTCTAGCTCATTAGAACTGTCTAGAATGGTGAATTTTCTGTCTGTTCACTGCACGTCTCATTCCCTACCTTTTAAATCCTCACCAGAAAACAACCAGATTTCTTTTCTTCCTGACACACCGCTCTAACCTGTCAGCTCTCTTCCTCTAAAAATCTGAGTAGCTCCTTGGTGCCCACAAAACAAAAGTTAAACAGCCTTGCAGGAATTTCAGATGCTCATTAAAAGTGACTTCCTCCCACTTCCTTTGCCTGCCCTGGACGTGCCTGCGTCTCTTTGCTGGCCCCTAGCTCTACTTGGCTGTCATCAAATGTCTCCCATCTTTCTATCACTCAGGGCTTGGCTTAAATGCTGCTGCTTCTGGGAAGTCTTTCCTTACTAGGAAGGAGCCTCACCCCTCAATACCTCCTGGTACTTTTGGTGCCTCTGTTACGGTTTGCCGCTCTCTCCCTTGTATGTGCGCATGACTTGTCTTTTCCTTAGATTGTCGCCTAGGGCAGGATCGAGTTTCACATTTGTATTTCCATGGTTCTTGGTGTCTGGAACCCGGCCCGTAATGAGTACGCCATGGGCATTTGTCGAGTTAATGAGTATGGAATATTTTCTAAAATGGAAAAATCGCAGCCTTATATTCTTACTGGTATTTTGACTTCAGGTTGGTATTTGACTTACGGGATTATACTTTACTTCTAAGTATCAGTAAAAGTCAGAAGATTTTATTTAAAAACCACATCCTCTTTAGATTCTTGGAGAGGAGTATACAGCTTTCTGCAGAGGGATGAGAGGATACCATCTCATCCGTTCATTCGCTTATCCAACCAACACATTTTTAACGGACGCCCATCAATTGCTAGGTGCTCGGGTGTGTCACCACAAACAGTGCCCGTGGGACATTGAAAATCGCTGAGATAAGTGAAGTATAGAAGCTGTAGCATCACCTACGAGGGGCACATAACCCAGACAGAGGTCAGGAACATTTTCTTTGCAGAGCTGATATCTAAACTGAGGAGAAATAAAAGTCGAGCAGAAATGAGACAGAAGTGAGTGGGATAGGGAAGCTGTGTTCTAGGCAAATAGAACAGCATGTGCAAAAGACCCAGAGATGAAAAGGAGCAGGGTTCAGGGAAGGAACTGAGGAATTCATCATGAAGGTGCATGTGGGGGTGGAATGAAGAGGAAGAAACCAGCTGCACTGGGAAAATGCGTGTATGACCTTACGTGCCCATGAAGGTGTTTGGACTTTATCCTGAGAGCAGTGGAACACCTCTACTGGGTTTTATCCCAAATTGGGGGACATGAGTGTGGGGAACACGGGGAGTCAGGGATACGTGTTAGGTGGCCATTGGAGTCATAAGGCTGAGAGAAATGCTTACTCAACCGGGGAAGTGCCAGTGGAAATGGATGGACCCTAAAGCTGCCTGGAAGTGTAGGAAAGTGTCGCCTCCTCTCACCTCAAGAGAATTTTGTCTGGATCAGGTGGAGATCGAAGGACCAAAATAGAAATAGTCCCTAAATCTTTTATTTCAGATTCCAAGATATGCCAAACACAGGAATCTATTAAAAGTGGAAACCTGTAGTTTGTGCTATTTGTGGAGACATTACAGTAGTAAGACTTAGCTCAGTTGTGTTTTAAATTCAGTTTGGTTTGAGATTAAAAATGAAACTGGTAAGAGCTGTAAAACAGTGTTAGTTCTGTGGACATCCTCACAAACTTGCAGAATTTATACTAGCTTTGCCCATTACCCTTGTCACTTCTGCCTTCTAGTCTTACAGTTTCTTTGTACCAATGTAGTATTTCCTCAAAATCATCGATTCCCATTAACACAACGTAAGATGCAAGGAATTCTTATTAATTTGTTAATGCTTAGGTAAATTATCAGTAGGCCATTAGCCAATAAGCGTATTCTATTTGGATATCGATATGTATAGAAATGCCCTCTGAACACCCTCGAATTGTAAGTAAACTAAAAGGGCTTCTGAACAGTGGCCATCACTGAATTGGTCATTGGGTCTTACTCCAGAGCACTGTCATATACATAATTCTAGTAAGTGTATTTGTCTGGTTTCATAGATAGCATACTGTATATGAGGAGGTCATAGCTACTTGAGGTAGGGGGTTACTATGCAGTGCCTGACATTAAAGGGAAAAGAAAAAAAAGGACAAAGAACTAGCAACCCAGCTATTTATAGTCAATTATGAGTAGCCACAAGCACCCCTACCTTCCCACTCACCATGGTGGATATAATATTGGGTTGTCGGAAAACTCATGACGCATTTTTGCGACGAAAAACAGAAAAAATACGTCATGACTTTTCCAACAACCCAATACATTGTGGTTCATGATGGTGAACTGAACTCACTATGTTACAGTTTCGAAGACAAAAAAGTACATACTATTTTTTAAAGAGTATATTATAGAAAACTTTCAACCTACCCAAGATTAGAGATAATTGTATTATACATTGAACTTCTATGTCCTCCTCACTCGACTTCAACAGTTATCAATATGTTGCCATTTTTGTTTCATCTATAACCCTGCCTGGTTTTCTTTGGGAGAAAATTCCAGATACCTTAACATTCATTTCACTTACAAACAACTTCAGTGTACACTTTTTTAAAAGATAAGGATACCTTTTTTCCCCCAACTTCAAAACCATAATCACACCAAAAAATGTAACAGCACTATGCAATACTTTTAAAAAAGATTTCTATCAAGTTGTTAAAATCAAATTTGTGTTCTAGAAGGAATTCTGTCTGGAAAAAAATCTACTTCAAAGCTCCATATAATTTAGTTCCACATAAATTGAGTAACATATAAAAATAAAAATACATAATCACATTCCTAATTAATTTGAATGTATCTAATATAATGTGAATTTTTGAAATTGTATTAATATGTTATGTACTTTTCTTGATTTTGTAGCTTTTAACCTGGAGACTTGTCGGCTTATGGTTTCAATGCTGGATGTATCCTTTACCTTGATGACCGTCTAGAGTATTTTTTCTTGACAAAAACTTTCTTCCTAAAGGAATCCACCTAAGAATTAATAGCTAGTAAGTACAGAGTGACAACTGACCACAAAGAAGTTTTCTGAAATCACTGGCTTTGAAGATGGAATTTGGCGTAAAAAAGGAAGGAAACTTCCTTGAAATAGAATGCTGGTGATTGACGAATTCAAGGGGGTAGAGCCCCAAGCAGCCTGGAAAGCTTTTTGCTCTAACAGTGATTGCTCTGTGTGACTCACACCTGGACTTCAGGCAGTGGAATTTTTCACAGCACAGTTGTTGGACTCAGTTTAGCTAGTGCTGACTCTACTGTGCCTTCCATCTCACCTCATTTTCAAAAGTGAAAACCCTGGGTCTGGGAGGGCTTACCGAGGGAGCGTTAGGGCCAAAAAGAACCCCAGGACAGAAGGTAAGCAGCATAGCCTGGTACACCCACAAAGTGCAGCCCAGTTCCAGTAACAAGACTGCATTTCACATGTGGCTTACCATGGCCATGTTATTTCCTTGTAATCACATCACATAGATTATCTTTTTCCCCACAAAGAAAGTATATGCTCAGAGCTTTTTCTCCATAGGCCCTTTTTATTATATCATTAGAGTGTCTTTTTATTATGTCATACCAAAAAGTGTATCTAACATTTTTACCCCTTTTTTTTTTTTTAGCTGAGCCATTCTGCCACCTGTTGGCAGCTCAGCGGCAGCTCAGCGGCAGCTCAGCTTGGGCCAGGAATCGAACCGGCAACCCTGTTGCTCAGAGCTCGCACATCTTGAGCGAGCGCTTAACCAACTGAGTCACTTGGCCGGCCCCATTTTTAACCTTTTTCGCAAAAAGAACATTACATTTCCTTATCCTTGATCTTTGATGTAATCACTAGAAAATGTTGCCTCCAAAAAAAGAAAAAAGATGTTCTAATCCTTAATTACAGTTCAGAGAGATCTGTCAGGCACAATGGGTTTCAGTGAATTTAAAGAACTCTGGTCTGTACTGAATGGCTGGAGACAACACTTCATCAGTTTTGACAGCGATAGGAGTGGAACGGTGGATCCTCAAGAATTGCAGAAGGCCCTGACAACAATGGGTGGGTATGGCCAACTCCAACTTCCCTGGTAGAACGAATTTTTTTTTTTTTATTTCTAAAACTAAGTGCTATAGGAAGGCAGTTTCTATTTTCTAAAAGTAGGTTTGCTCATAATTAACATGCGTACTCTCAGTCTTAAAAAATTATGCCTGTTTACTTTTAATGGTCTCTTTGTAATCCTTGAACTTTTTTTCTGCTGAATGATTTTTCTTCCCTCAGGATTCCGGTTGAGTCCCCAGGCCGTGAATTCAATTGCAAAACGATACAGCACCAATGGAAAGATCACCTTTGATGACTACATAGCCTGTTGCGTCAAACTGCGAGCTCTAACAGGTGTGTCCTTTGAGATGGTGTCATCTCCATAGGCCAAGAAACCAGTTTTTATGATGTTTCACTTCTCAGTGCTTCTGAACTTTTATTGTCCCAGTCTCTTTTTTTTCCCCCTAACTTCTCTGGCTTTTTAACATTGCTATTAAGCAGATCTGGCAGAGTAACTTTTTTTTTTTTTCAGACTTAGGATTATTTACCTATCTAAATTTTACTAAAATGTTCCAGAACATAAGAAACTTAATTTTCTGTTCAGAATATGAGCAGTATTCTGTGATTGCTCCCTAGTATGTGAAATATTTGAAAAGAGTGCAATTACTCATTTGTAGCTCTTTTCCTAATTCCTCCTTTTGGAGGTTTAAAATGGTGTCATCTTTTCCAGGTGTATTTCTTAAATGAGCCGATATTAATAATCTCCACTTTTCTACTCCCTCCATTCTTTCTTTTGTATATCTTTTCTTACTCCATTCCTCTCTTTACTCTTTTTAATATCTACTTTTATAATTTTTTTTGTATCCTAACAAAATTTGAGGGCAGATTTAAAAAAAATTTTTTTTCTTTTTTTTATAAAAGTAAATCCTTTTCAATAGGACAGAACTCATATAGGTGGAATATTTTATCACAGTTCATTTGTCCTATCAGGGACTCCATCCATCTATTCCTCAATTAAACAATATCTATGTTATTGAGAAGTTTCATATTCTTGCTTTCCTCAACAGTAAATAATGACTTCGGAAATCACACAGCTTCTACTAACTTTGGGATAAGGTGTTTTCTTCCAGGTCCACACCGAAAAAGATAACTGGCCAACTTCCCCACATTGTATTACTTGGTGCATATTAAATCTATTCATGTTCATATAACTGGCCTCTTTGCTTTGGCCTATTCTTTCTGTTGTCTGCTTGTACAGTATAAATGTTACTGCAGTTTGAACCCAATGCCAAAATAATTGTGAGTTCAGATAAGACGTTTAAAAAAACCATAAATTTCACTGATGTTTTACAGACAGCTTTCGAAGACGGGATACCGGTCAGCAAGGTGTTGTGAATTTCCCCTATGATGATGTAAGTCTCAGTAAAGTCAGAGCTGAGTATATAAAATGTACACCAAATGGACATCCCTTTTAAAGTTAGCTGTTAAGAGCACCTTACGGATGCCAGAGAGCAGTCAAGGCTTAAATGATCAGAAGGATCAAAATGATGAAAATTTATTGATTTCATTTATTCTTCATCCTATCTGTCCAACCACTGTTTGCTTTGCCTTGAAAGACCTGGGTGAAAGCTCAGCTTGTCCCACTCATTAGCGGGTTCATTCAGGCAGGTTTCTTCACGGCTCCGAGACTGTTTGAGGAAAGAGGAAGTAGTAACAATAATGCTTTCTCCCTTGGGCTGTTATGAGCCTTCAATCAGAAACGTCCTTGAAAAATGCCATGCAGATGTGTCTGCTTTTGCCTTCATTTAAACAAATTATCTCAGACATTGAGAAGTAATTTGAACAGCTCAAAGCTGTACTTGGCACACCCATGTTCTTCATTGAGGACCTCAGGCATAAACTTAAGTCACACTTGACAACAACATATTTCCTAAATCGCTGCACTAAATGTGAGATAAGGTCATGCACCAGGGCGAAGGTAACCAAGTACCTTTTTTTTTTTTTTTAATTGGGGAAGGGACACAGCCAAGTTGTTGTCTTTCAATCTTTGTTGTGGAGGCCACAGCTAGCTCAGCTCCAAGTCCAGTTGCCATATGGCCGCTCATCGGCGGCTTGCGGCCAATCAGCTCAAGGTGCCCTCTTCAATCTTAGTTGCAGGGGAGCGTAGCCCACCATCCCATGTGGGAGTCCAACCGGCAACCTTGTTGTTAGGAACACGTGCTCTCACCAGCTGAGCCATCCTGCCACCTGTTGGCAGCTCAGCTCGGGTGCAGCTCACTGGCCCATGTGGGAATCGAACTGGTGACCCTGTTGCTCAGAGTTCACACTCTTAACCAACTAAGCCACCTGGCCAGCCCCCCAAGTACCATCTTTGATGGCACTAGTTGGATGTACTTAATAAAGCTAGGGAGATGTTTACTTGTTTCTTCATTGTTTGCTCAGCCATTGATAAAAAAAATTACTTTTAGAATGTAAATCACTGTGATAACTGAATATTCTAAAATGTTTTGCATTACAAAATACCAAAATACACATGTATTCAGTTTAGCAGCTGCCACAGTTAGTGAGTACACTTGAGTGTAAATATGCTTACTTTTTTTCCTTAAAGATGTGTTTTCTTCAGTGTGCAACTTCTCAGGTGACAGTCCCGTCATTGTTTCCAAAGATAGAGAGGCGGCCTGTGGAGTGGAAAGTGCACAGGCTTTGGCCTCAGATGGGGCCACTTAAGAGACAGCTAAACCTCTTGATCCTTAGCCTCCTTTTCCCTGAAATAGAGCTAATCAGCTTGGCTTTGCGGGAATGCTGCAAAGATTAGCAGTGCACACACAGTTCCTCACTGGTGCTGGAAGAGTGAAAGAGAAAATTGATAGAAAAAGCAGTCTAGTGATGTGTGTTTAGTGGTGAAGCATGTACTGATACTTCTAAATTGGGGTTTCTGAGTTGCAGAAGGGCGAGAGAGATTCTGTTTCTGTGCATACATATGCTTGCATGCTACAAATTCATTAAGCAGATTTTAAGGGAATAAACTGTTTAAAGGAGCTCTGTTAGAGTAATGGGGTAATCCTGTGCAGTTCGGATGTCCCCCGGTGATACAACAGTATGAACTCAACTGTTACTTGTATTTGAATAGGTACTTTTGACCATGCCCATTTCTAGTCTTTGGTATTATTTGGAATTTAAGTAATTCTTTATCCACTGAGTAAGCTTTTTATCCTATAAGAAGCTTTGATGTGAGAAACTCACTGGATTTTATATTAGACTGCTTCCCTCAAAAACTGAACCTGTCCATATGTCATTTATCTTATTTTATAAAGGATTTTTAAGTCCGTGATTCAAATTAGAATACCAAAATGTCAGCTGCCTAACAGTAAGCTAGGGTGTGTTCAGTGTTAAGAGATCTGCAGTGTAACGCTGACCTTCCTCTCTTTCAGTTCATTCAGTGTGTCATGAGTGTTTAAATCAAGAGGAAGCTGTATGGACATCATCGGCCTTCCAGCTGGAGTTCCCTTTCACTCTTGCTCCTTGCCCTCAGTAACGTGTAAACTTACATCATTCCTTTTCCTTAACAGCTATTGTAAAGGTTTATTACTCTGTGTACATCTGAAGTTTTGTTTTAGTCTAAATAATAAATTCTTTGGAATTTTATAAATAGAAGATCAGGTCTGTTCCACCATTTAGAACTTCCTTGAGCCATTGTCATGTGCCTTATTTTCTTGCTAACCCTCATATGTAAATTTAAGTGGGCGGGATGTTTAAGGCACATTATGTATTTATCACTGTAGGATATTAACACCTCTTCATCAGACTACAGCTCTTGTCATCCCTCTTCTAGAAGGGCTTTTGCATGGTATGGAGTATCCTTAGGGCATAAAATTGTGTAGACCTACTTGGATGCAAAACAACCACGACAGGGTTCACCTTAGAGGTGACTTGGTATGGGCTTTCAGGCTCACAGGTGGTTTGATGGCTGGCTGTATGAACAGACAGGGACCATGAGTGATTATTTTCTGCTTCTTGAAAACCTATTGAATAATTTGCGTGGCAAATACCATCTGTCACCAAGATTCTCTTTGTCTTCATCCATGTTCACTATACTTAAAAACCTTGTACAGTATGAGCTTAACTATGTAAAAAAGAAAATCGATAGAAAAAGATGAAGGGAATATATGAAAATATTAACTGGTTATTTTTGACTAATAGGATTTCTGGGTGATTTTAATTTCCTTTATACGTTTCAGGATTTTCCAAATTTTCTATAATGTGTGTGCTTTCCTTTTAAAATCAGAAGATGCTCATTTTTTAAATATTGACACTTCCATTTTGATACGCCATGTATTTACACTTACAGTAAAAAATATATACACAGCAAAAGGACTGGAAAGGGTGTACCAAATGTTGATGTGTCTGCCCCTGGCAGTCAGGATATGAGTTCATTTTCTTCCTGTTACTTTTCCAAATGTTCTCTAATAAGCAAGTATTAACATTTATACTGGAAGCCTTTTTATTTTTTAAAAACCATGTGTTTTTAAGTAAGATCTGGATTCTAATGCTGGCTGTGCCTCTTACTAAATATATGGTGATAAACTCAGAGCCTCAATTTCCCCGTCTTCGAAAAGGAGGTATTGTTATCTCTGGGGGTAGATCTGAATATGAAAAAATTGTTGGTATAATAAGCACCAATGTTTCTGTTTCTTAAATTTAAAGCTGGCCTAGTTTGCTCTTTTGTGCAAGAGAGCTTAACAGATAAAATAATGAAATTAGTCTATTGTTTCCCTGCCAGAATACCTAATTGTAGGGCACAATATACGAGTTACTATTCTGATGATCAATCAGCTGTCAACCAATGCAAATAAAATATGTCTAAGCATCTTTAGCCTCATTTCACTAGTTATTTTTTCAAATATTGATAAAAAGTATATATTCATTTTATAAATACTTATTCAACCCTAACTTAGGTATTTATGTCACGTAGTCACACCTGGGCTACATATCAGAACGTGAAGCAGCCTGCTTTATGGTACATGGTGAGTCTAGGTTACATTCCAGATGTGTTGTCTGTGAGGCCACAAAGCTTGGCTGAGCCTGAACTGTCCCAAAAAGGGCCATTAGAGGGCTCAGAGAACCAGGAGGCAGGGAACTCTCCCTCAGTCACAGCGCCTGCTGTTTGCTTCAAACTCACCAGGACCCTCCCTCTTAGGAAGCCCTAGATTACGGAAAGGATCATTTCCTGGATAACTATAACGTGGTGAGGAAGAAGGCCTTTGCTGACCCGAGGTTATGGGCCATGTTTGAACCATCCTACTGCTTTGATGTGTCCCATGCTGCATCAACCATGGTTCTGAGTTTGTTTTGGGTTAAGTGCTAAAGCGTTACAAAACCATGTCTCTGAGAATAATTAATCCAATTTTAATTATTGAAACCTTGTAGCAAGTTTTCTTATGTCCTCCACTTTCTACTTTCACTGTTTCTTTCCAAAAGCATGGAGCCTTGACCTCAATATGCCTCTGCAGTTAAAAAGTTTCCTTCCTCTTGACAGATTTGACAAATCCACCCCCTTTCTTTGATTACAGCCAGTCTTCATTACAAGTGAATCTCGTATTGCCTTATTTCTATTTTATGTTGGGTTCTGGGTTGCATTCATTATATGCTTGCAGCACAGCTTTCTTTCCAACCGTTTCTTGGTCTATTTTCCTGAAAGCATCTAGTTAAAGCATGGTACAGCTGAGCTCAGACTTGCATACTTCATTTGGAGAATGAAGTTCCTGAAATCACCTCAAGGTTTAATTTTGGAGATACGTGCTTCAGCCTTATGCTTCAAGAGATTCACGAGTTAATAACCCTTTGCAAGTGCTTCTATTGGGTGTGACTGCAGGAGGCCTGGCGCTTGCCTGAGGGCGCTGGTTTAGATTTGCAGCACAGCAATTTTACCTACCTAATCCCAGCTCTCCTGTGGAGCCCAAGCTGAATGTAGGCTCCAAGTCAGCCTGTTCCAGGTGGCGCTGTCAAGTCCACGTGACGGCATGTGAGCTAAAACTGCCGTTCTCTCTGAACTAGACTTTGCTTTCACTTAGCTGAGTGTTACTATATCCGTGTTCATCTTAACTATTCTATATGCCTAAAATATTATAAATACAAGAAATGGGAGCTATATGTAATCGTAAGGTTGGTTTTTTTTACTGTCACAATAAATATGCAAACCCTTAGTCAATGACTTCTATTTTTCTCACATATAACTACTTTTTTCTGCTGCAGACTACAAGCTGAAGACAAGGGAAGTTCAAGTGCCAGGTAAAGACTGGTGGGTGAAATGGCTGCTGGGAGATGAGGCAGCGGCCAAGTGGGACAGTGTTTTAGTCAGTGAACTCATGAACCTAAACTGAGCCCATCCAAGGTGCATTGCTTTAGAGTCTAACAGGTGAGCTTTTATAAGCACCACTGCCTGGGCTCTGGATACAGGAAATCGATCCCTGTTAGGGTCACGGAGAAAGTGCAAAAGATGAGGCAAAGCAGGTGGATAAATAGAGGAGACCCTGCCCCACCCAGCTGAGGAAATTATCCAACAAACAGCATTCAGGATTCACTGAAGGATTGTACTGATGCTTATGGCCCCTTCTAGGACAGCACGCAACAGAAGAGAAACACCCCCTAATGTTACCTCCACTAAGCTCTTGAAAGAGAAATAAACTGGGAGAAAAAATAGGATTAAAGGGAGTTATGCATCAAAATCACATAGATCTTTTATTGAAAGTCACTTTATTAATGTTACAATGAGAGTAACATAGAAAACCGTGGTATCTTATTAGCTTCAGAAGTGAATACTAATAAAATTGTGCCAGAAATTTAAACCTCAAGTTACAGTGACCTTGAAAAACAGCAAGATTTTGTTTACCCACAATATAAGAACAACTTGATAACTTGAGCAGCCATGAAAGAGATCACGCTCAGGAAAGCAGTTGCCATACACATTCAGTTGGTGTTTGCCAAAACCCAGTAATTTTAAAAATTGCTTAAGAACCTGAAGTGTGGCGAGGCAGAGAGAATGTCAGGTTAAAACGAAGCCAATCTAAGTATATACACGATTACCTGGTTACCATGAGTGAAAGCTATTAACATTCCCCACGAAGTGACTTGCGCTATCTGTAGGCACTACCCCCTTGAAGATGACTGTGGAAAATGCTAGCACAGACCTACAGTGGCCAACATACAAATGATGTTTAGGTAGAACGCCCAGTTTCTAAAAAGTCTTTTTAGGATTCTAGAGGAGGGGCAGGTCTTCCAGCAAGTTAAAAAGAGTATATGCTTAGTTATCCCGAATAAACCTTTTGTTAAGTACTTTTGAAATTAGTGTTTAAAAAAAAATTCCATAGAAAACAAAGGCCTGGGGTCAATTTTACCCATTAAAAAGACTGGCTGTTAGAATCAGTTTGGTTTTGTGCTGGATTAGAAAAGAAAAGGGGTTTCTAATCAGGCAGTGATACACATGTGATTTAGCAAGAACTCATTACTGAATAAATACTAATTGATATCAGCACTTTCTGTATTATCTGGTAGAATTTAGCACCTCTCTTTAAAGATTTGGGGGCTATTGGCATTATTTTAGAGCTTGACCACTGAAACAAATCTACATGTGAAACTTCATAAAGAGGCTAAGCCCTAAATTGTAGATTAGTATATGTGTGTATATATTTTGTAACTTGAGAAAATGCCCTTTTCTTCATAAACTCTGAAAACTTCACTGATGATTTTGTAAGCGCATTATCTCAACGGGATTACTAGTCTCATTGTATGCCTTTTTGTAAAAAACAAACCAAAAAAAAAAAAACCCACACACATTATCCCTGGTTCTGATTTCAAGAATACCTAAAAACATGAAACGATAATGCACTTGAGAAAAATTCTGCCAGCCTTGGAGCACCTCCATGTACACTACAGGTTCTATGAACAATGCAACAGGTACACCAGGCAGCAGTGACTGGCACATTATGGACTGGACCACAGAGTATTTATACAAGCAACACTCAGTAACTGCAGAGCACACAGGCCTGTCGGTAAGCACTCAGCACCGCTCTCCCCACCGCCCCAATCCCAGTGGTCATCTTGAGTTCTAAGCTCTGCACGTGGACCTCCATTCTGCACCAATCCCGGGACTAAATGCACCATGACCTCCCAAGGTCCCTTGCTGCTTATCTACCCCTCTCTCCTGAAAAATACCTTGGGGACCAATCAGTGACTTCCAAAGTTGCACAAGCCATGCCCAGGTGCCAGTGGGAGAAGACTAAAGGTGACTTTCCCCGCTATTCTGCACCCTATGCTTCTTGCAAGTGCCAAGTTAAGCAAAGAAGGGACTTACCTCCATGACAGTGAAAGTTCCTAGTCAGGAGAAAAGGGCTGACAGCTACCGAAGGGAGCAAAAGGGAAGTAGGAAGGGAGTGGAGGCATCTATCAAACCCCACAGCGAGGTTGCTTAATATTTGTCAGGCTCTGGATGTAAAGGACAAAAATACTAGGTAGGTTTTTCTTTTTGAACGTTGTGCTTTTCTACTTATAAACTGAACTAGAAGATGCTTCAATTTGGATCCTCTGACAAAGCAAGAATAAAATGTGAACAGAAATATTATCCCAATTTGTAAGGTCCCCCTGCCTCTTGGTATGCTCTGCACCTGCAGTTGTGGAAAAGCACCTCTTGGAATTAAAAGCACCTGCCCGCAGAGCATATGCTCCAAGCATGAGCCAAGGGCTGGCTCCCCGCAGGTGTGGCTGCTTCTCCCCTCCACCCACCCCCCACACAGCCAGCTGGGCTGCTGCCTCCGCCTATTGTCACAAGAATGGGTTGGCCACCTCACAATCCAGCAAATGGAAGCTGTATATCAAAGTCCTTAGCTCTCCCATGCCCGAGGAAAGCTGCATACAAATTCAAAGCAGTCTTATCAATTCAGAAAGTATCTCAGAGGAGAAAATAAAAAGTTTGAGCCCCAAATGAATCTCTATTATAGAGAAATGTTTGCTGCTTATATATTTTAAGCTTGTAGAATGAGAACTTCATCTTGACTCCACTTAAGAAAAAAAAAAGCGTTTCGGTAGCAGAGGAAGACAAGTGAAAGGAAAAAAGAGTAGGAGCATTAAAAAGTAGGTATTATGCTGCAAATGGGACTCAGAGCTGTTTCATGGAAAATTCCTGCCACCTTACCAACTGTTAGGATTGCATTTGAAACACGCTGCCATAGGGGCGTCCGTGGCAGCAGCTGGCAGTGGTGTCCTAACCAGGCTGTGGCAGCAGTGGTCTGACCTCCATTCATTCATTCCTTCATCCATTCACTCACAGCGCTGCACTTTGTTCTCCCATATACTCTACAAGCTACTCAATAGCCTTCCAATAAATTCCTTTTCCTTTAAGTAAAATAAAAGACCTTTCTCTTTAGGTAAGGATTTATTATCACATTGAATAACACAAGGAAATGGTTAGAGCACTGAATATCTAAGTTAAAATAGAACTACATGACAGCAAGAAATAAAGAATGGATGAAATAAACAAACAAACATGATTTTGAAACACAGAAAGAAGTAAACTGAAATACTGTTATTTCCTCTGGCCCTTAGGTCACTATACAAAGTAAAGAACAAAATCTAAAATGAGGTAAAGTAGCCCCAAGAGATCTGGGACCATGGACAGAATTAAATTATGCAAATCTGCAAGGGAATCAACAAAAAAAATGAGAAAAAAAATGACTTCTTTGAAAATGCACAGAATATCTAATTTTATCTTTTCAGCAACTTCTTTTAGAAATCCTATCAATCTTATGTTCAGACATGTATGCCGGACTGACTTTATGGATAAACGTAATTTTAAAAGCCTTTTTTAAAAGCAAGAGGAGAGAGACTGTATTATCACTTAATAAGCACCTATATCAAAATATGTTTGCTATTTTAACCCTACATTTACTTTATTAGTCAACTTTACTTTTGTAAGGAACAGCACTAGGTTTCTTTTAAAAAATACAGCAACAACAGCAAATTGAAAGTCCTCATTATGCTGCATGGTTTGAGTTATTCCTTTCCATAGATTGCCCGTGACCTGGGATCACGTTCTAGCTACGAGGCACAGGAGGAAGACACCACTTCCTATCTACAGAAAGGGGCTGGACACACAGACCAGTTGGTCCGACCAGTCAGTTCCCTCAGGGCCCCCTGTTACCCCACACCTCCCTTGCTGACGCTCTGGGTGGAGAGATTTAAGTGTTTCTTTAAATCAAAGTTTACTACCACACTGTAATGGCTATGGGTTAAATGGAACACATCAGGCAGCGGGGCTGTCAACCTGAAGTCTTACCTGTGCACAAAACTTCAGAAAGGGAGGAAAAAGGCATACAATGGGACCTAAAGGCCCAATGACTGCTCTTCTCTGCTTAGCGCAACAGTCCCATAGCAGACTGGAGATATAAATATTAGTTTTATATAAGTATTTATAAAATACTGGGGATATAAGTTATTAGACATAAACGGCTACGTGGCCTCAAAGTTCCTCTCCAAAATAGATATTCAAAAAAATAATAAGGATGTTGTGCTTGTGTTTAGTGTCATGGGTCCATTCTCCCTGCCTCACTGGATGAAAAGTCATAAATATTTGGATTTAATACAGCTAGAACACCAACCATGAGTACACATATAGGTACTTCTCGAAATGATCCACAAAGATTATAAACTTGCCAAAGAATTCTGCAAATGGCTGTAAGAATGTTTAAACATTCTTAGAGTAGATACCCGGAATACAACATTAAAGCTACTATAAAATCATAATCTCTCTGCAAATAAAACAAAACACTTTCATACGAAGGTTGGTTATTACCGAGGAGGATGACTACACACTACGTATATACCCTCTAGAACAAGCATGTCTCCCAAAAGGCACATAATCATGATTTTCACTTGCAAGAATAATTTTCATGAAAAAATAATTGAGAACACGAGGAAAGAGAGAGAGAGAGGGGTGAGGAGATCTGTTGACTACCTAGCTAACCATCTGCGGATTCTTTCACATTAGGGCTTGTGTAACTGTAACTAGGAAGCATATATACACGAGGTACCTTACATTCAAATCTATAAATTCTTTTATAGTCAAAATAAACCTTATAACATTAGCATTTTATACACTCATTACCAGAAAACATTCAGGGCACATTAAAGTGCTCTTGGTCCAAAGCCACTTCATTAGCTATACCTTTAAATCTATCTGCCCTCCTGTCCTTGGCTTGCGCTATGCAGTGACGTCACCTAACACACTAAACCTTAGTCTGATGGATCGTTTTTTGTTGTTGTTGTATTGACAGTTACATCCCTATCAACAGTCATGAAAAATGCTGTTTACATTTTATCGTCTTGGATGATTACATTGATTTTCAAACATTTTCAAAAACTTTCCAAAGAGAGGTCCATTACAGAAGACATAAACACACACAGTGAAAAACACTGCCTTCTCAGTCAGCCCTTCAGTGTGGGCATCCAAGGTGATTTTACACATAGAGATGAAATGGATTTTGTCCACGGACATGACTAGGAGACATCAAATTTAGGAGATACCTTGTTTGCAGATTCCATTCCTCTCAAGAACAAGGAGAGAAAATGGAAAAACTTAAAAGTAATCTTTGCATCAAAACATTTGGCTGAACCCAACAATTTCTGAGCTCATGAGGATAGCCTCCGTAGGGAACCTTTCTTTTAGAATGACAGAGCTGCATTATGACAGCTATCATATTCTGGTGTTAAAGAAGGGGCTTTAACAAAGAGTTCTTACTTTTCTATGGATTAAAAAACATACAGTTCAAGACATCAGATTCTTTCCCCTGCCAGCTGTTTGGGTAACGTCACAATTGTCACACACACGGAGCTTTAGGTTTAGCCCTTTGTGGCCCATTGAGTTTTCCTAGCCCAGCTGGTAGGCCCTTCTATCACCTCGCTTCCAAGTCAGTGCACAAGGACCTGTTGGGATCCAAGCATCCCACTAATGATAAATACTCTTAATAAACAGTGTACAAGTTGTTTTGAGTCAACCAAGTCATTCATTTCACAGATAAGGGTGGCTACAAACTTTTGTTAAAGAACAAAACTTTAGCCACAAACGGTTAGAGTATTAGCAAGTTGAAAGCCACCAATGCCTCAGCAGCTCATGGTCTTGTGTGTCTTTGGTGCACTTGTTTAATCTCAGCCGGATTGACTGCTGTGGGGCTCACAGACCTCCAGGGTGAGACTAGCAGATGTGCTCTGCTACTGGAAGATAATAGCTGCTGAGACAGCCGCCGCCATGGCCCTCAGAAGGAAAGCAGGCGGCGGGGGCCTCCCAGGGAGTCCTGGACGCAGGCAGGACAACAGCGGCACCCCTGGACTCCGGCCCCAGAAAGCTGTGGACGCCACAAATTGTGCTGGGCATGCGTTCTCTGGTTCAGTTAATGACTCAATAAAACTGCCTCCGGGCTCTGCACAGTTTCAAGGGATGTCACAAGTTTTGGACAAACACCAATTATGGAGAGACACAACTGACAGCACTGAGTACTAGACTTACATCATCTGCTTATCACCTTTAAGGACCAATTGATGGAGGACAATGATCTGACTGGGACTGATTGTTTTTTAGGCATTTGGCAAAATACACTGTGTATAACAGCTGCTTTTTTTATTTTAAAAATGTTTACATATGTACAATTGTCCTTGTATGCTGATATAAATATGAAAAGTAAAAAATAAAATAAAATAAAAATAAAAATACATGTTTAAAGTTAGCATATCGGATATTGGCCTCTCAAAGCTTTAAAGTCCTGCAGAAAAATCCTAAATGCCTTAGCCCTGCATGCTAGTTTCTATTACAGGATGTTGTTTCCTTCGGTGTGGAAAACAATAAACAGAAGCGTCATGCATGTAGAGTACTGTCTACAGTGAGGATGTGCTTCAGAATGTGAAGTTCTGAATCCACTGTTGTCCCTTAGGAAGCTTGCTACATCGGGGTCATGTGAGTTAATTGTAGTGATAGTTCTACATATATCTGTCATGCAGATTATCCATTAACATACCAGTACCTTTATTGTTCCATGGTATAGTGTAACATTTCAGTAGTTCTTTTCATGGTTCGGTTAAATCCTAAGCCAATGACCAGAAAAAAAAAAAAAAAGAAAAGAAATGGAATCTAGATGGGACACTTGGCTTCCTCTCCTTTGTGGCATCTCAGTGGGTTTTCGTATCATCTGAAGAGCAGATAGATTTGCAGTGATTCCGTGAGGCTGGGTTTCTATAAAAGTTGAAGTAAACAGTTTCGATGTATCACATGTAAACAGTTGATCTTAAATGGATGTCTCCCATAGCTGCACAACAGAGAAAAGCAAAATTGCACATTGTAAAAGCAGGAAACACATATTATGAGCTACGAAGATGAAACAGATTCAGTGGTTCCATCCATACTTATATGCTTGTGGATACACACTCTTGCAAAGTCTAATAAATGGGTAAAATAAACATTCTAATTTATAGCTCTCTTTCCTCTAAACCTGGGTCTCAACCTTTTTAACAACCGCCATCTTTTAATACAAAAACCATCACATGCTCATTCAGTGTTACTCAAAATTGTGAATAAATTAAATGTTGTGTCTCAAATGAAATGAAACTTTTTTTTTTAAACTACAGTGTTCTTTCCCCAGGATTCTCATACAGCCAGCTAAAGTGGTAGCTCTCAATCCAGCTACACACATTTCAGTGATCCAGGGGCATTTTAAAAATCCCACTGCCAAGGTTGCACACCAAATCAAAATCTCTCTGGGTGGGACTCAGGCATCAGTGTATTTTAAAAGCCTTTTAGACAATTCCATGTACAGCCAGCACTGAGAACCACTGACCTCAGCCAAGTAGGAGTCTTCTACCACCACCACCCACTTAAAAGGCACTGCCCTGGGCCTATAACCAGGCTCCCTACCCCCCAAATCCATCCCTACCTCCCGAAAATTGTTCTCTCCCAGGGCCTATATCGAAGTATAATGATGCATCAAGGGCAGGAGGTCACTTCCTTCACCCCTGCCCTTGCCTCTGCCACCAGTTCTTATACTCACTCTGCTCATACCTAATGTCTACGGTGTTCAGTAAATGTCTTAATGGACTGGAAACAACACTGATGTGATAAAATATGAATGCAACTCAGTTCACCAGAGAAGGAAGGCCAATTAAAAAAAAAAGATCAAGATGTTTCCAGGCAATAGGATTTGGGTATACTTATTATAAACATGAACAAAGAAAGCCTAAGTGTGACTTAGGTTGTATTGACTTTCCATCCAAATTCCACTTTTACTGGAAATCTGGCGCATATCATTCTACACCTGAGTTTCTGGGAAAGAAAAAGAAGACATAGCTAAATGAGTGGATATTTCTATATACGTTCACTTACTATATTCTCTTGAATCTTCATGGAAATCTTGTTCTGAATGCCTATGTTGGCTACCCCACAGAATTGAGGTAAAGCAACCTATGTTATCTACCTCAGGTCAGCTTTATATGTCGTTTTCATTTTAAAAAGACACCCATCTCTTCACCCTTTGGAAACAAAATCTCTCAAGTATGAGGACGTTTGTATGGGAATGATGCCTGTTGGTGGAGACAGAAAATGAATGGCTAAACAGGGGGCTTGCAGGGGTTATGAAGGAGCAAAGGTCTGGACTGATGCTCAGATGAGGGTGTGGCGTTGCAAAGAGTTCAGACTTCAGTAAGCCCAGTTTCTGCATAAATGGTTATGAAAAATAAATGACAAGTGACGGGTTGCAGAAAAAAAGAGAGGAACAAAGGAACGACATTGGGAGAACCTGAAGGTCGCGATTATCCCAGTGAGGAAAAAGGAATAAAGAATTGTCAAGCCATCACTTTTAGGAAAAGCATGACCTTGGCCATGTCTGAATGGCTGTGACAGAGGGGCTGCTGATAGAAAGATCTGCTTGTTCGATTCTCCACAGATGACAGGGACGGCCCAGACACCGGGGCCGCCACTTCTGCAGGATTCTGCTACACGCTCATGTGGATATTCCACTGTGGATGGAATCAACCAGACCCTTCACACAACTGTCCCAGAGGCTACAGTCTTCACAGTAGTCCCACTCAGCTCAGGGAAGGGGCCATGGTCAGCCGTTTCTTCCACGGAGCTATCTTTTTCATAAGTTCTCATGTGGGAAAATCTCCAATAACCTGCACCCCAGCACGACAACTGCTGGGAGAATGTCCCTGACTAGAAAGACCAAGCAGCAATGCAGACAATTTATTGGGTGGTGGGGGAGGGCTGTTATACTTTGGCAATTCCCTGGGGAGGGGAGGAATGCTATCACCTTAGATTTCATTACCATATCCTATCATGAACAACTGGATGCCTATGAACAAGTCTTTTTTTTAAGGCCTGAAAGTTGAATGCTGGGAATCTGCGTTATTTTCTTCCTTTCCATCTTTTACTACTCCCATATTAACATATGAAGGTAATTTTTTGTATTATGATTATCAAAACACTACTGATTGTTTTTAAAGTCTTTTTTATTATAATGATCTAATCAGCTTTTCAAGAGTGGTGTTTCTTACTGATTCCCAGTTGATGGAATTAAATTTGAAATGGTCCATGTTTATCTTGAACCCCACAATTTAAGTTCAGGATCAAAGAGGCTCTGAGATATCTTTCAAACCCAAAAGGCCTAGGAGCCCAGGACCCACTAGCAGATGAATCTGTCCAGGCTTTTAAAGCTTGTTTTATTACAATTTTTTGCAAAATTATTTCTGAGAACATCAACATTATAATGTAACTCACCACAACAAAGCCTGGGCATCAAAAAAGGTAATTATTCTTCAGTTTTATTTTTCACTTAAGCTCTGAGTACTGGTCTGCCTCTCTAAACTTGACTATATCTCCAATTTCATATTATGGATCTGTTCTGGCAACATTGTGAGACCGGTTAGAATCATGATTAAAATGTAGAAGAGGCTTCAGTATTTAAATGAAACTTCCAGTGAATCGTATTTTTATAAAAATAATCAAATCCATATATGCTTTTAAATATGGCTTTTAAACAATATATAAAAGGTTGCTAAATTTCACCATAACCTTTTGTCATACACTAAATAATACAGATTTTGAAGTCCCGTCTCCAAATTCTACTCCCATCTCCAAGACATTGATCTGACTTTCTGTCATGGGTTCCTACTTCTAAAATCCTATCAGGTATTATTAGCTGGTGAAAGGTCTGAGTAAACAAATTAGATATGGAAATGAGGCTACTTTACTTTAATTTCTGGAATTTCCAGGTATATTAAAAAACTGATAAAGCAAAATACATTCTCTGTTTTGTCTATTCCAGGATGTAACATGTCAGCTACACTGAATAATTAAAGATATAAATATATAACAATGATTAATATATACCAAATATTTCTAGACTCTACCAATGTAGCTAAACTAATGTGCAAATATAAATCTGAGCCCCCAAAGCCCCAAGAATCTTCTATTTTTCAAATTTATTTTTTTTCATTTGCTTATGAACAAAGAAGGAACAAGGGCTCTCTCTTAAAATATGAAACCTAGTTAAACAATAATGACCGAGGATGTTAGCGTATGGAAGAAGTTTTCACATACCCTGGCACTTTGTCGGTTCACTTTCTTCTCCTCGTCTGGAAGTGGAGGCATTGGGTAGGGGTATTTTCTGCTGGAGGCAATGGACCCAGTTGATGAAGACGGAGACTTGGCAGGAGATAAAGTCCTGAGACGTTGAGAACACATGAAACAAATATTATGTGATTGCCTAGTATCTTTTGCAAATACCTGAAAATTGGGTTCAGAACAAACCCTCTGATTTCTACTTTCATAGCCATTACTGCAAAAATTTAGCTATTGGGAGATCTGTCATTCATAATACTGGAATGCTGGAATTTTATCTTCCTAATTTCATAACTGCAATGGATTGTTTAAATGTTAGAACAGAAAATCATCCTTTTCAACTAGAAAGCCAATAAGTTTTCTATAGAATAGGTAAAAAGCTAAAATGGAGAAGGGGTACAATTACTCTAAGAGCTCATAATGGTAAATTGAGTGTACATCACATCAACGTTCTGCCTTATTTTTACCACTTAACGTAAACAATGTTTTTAGCACAGTTACTCCATTCATACTTTTAAGGTCCAAAAATACAATACAATCGATACATTTATTAGTTGCTAAGTCACACACCAGTTTACACAAAAGTCATGCATTCAGAGGCCAGTGTGTTAGTTGTGAAAGAACAAAGGCAAATACAGAGGTTTTAATAATAAATTAGTAAACATGCAAGCAGTAAGGAGTGCAGAGTTTCAGCCAAACAAAGAGTCTGATGAGAACATACAAAAATGGTCTGATTAGTCCCTACAATCAGCATTTCTGTACAGGGGAGGATTCTAAGCCATAGAAGCAGGATACGACCCTAACTCATGTAGGGTACACTTGTCACGTCAATAAGGTGACTTCACTTTATTGACTGGAATTTTACTAAAACCAAAACAAAGCGCCAGGACAAGAACCCTTGGATGTGTTCTCTTCTCCATCCTGGAGATATTCCATACGAAAGATCTGCGTAAGCTCTCGCTGCTCTGTGCTGTTCTTGTTTGATTCTGCACGTGCAGTGGTAATATTTGTGACTGAGCTAAGCACACTGGAAGAGCCCATTCTCTGCCACCTTGTCTTTAAAGTGAAAAGAACACCTGAGAGTGACAAGTGGCAACTTACACCATATCAATGGAAACTAGACGCAATAATTTGGCAGTAGCTATCCATTCACAAATGTTAACCACTACACATGTGTGACTCCTCAGTTCCTGGTGCAAGGTGGTAACCACCCACATCGCTGAACTGGTTACACTGCGACATGCGAGCACAAGGAGTTATTTTAGTAGGATGCACCTGCATCCTGTGACTGACAGCCTGGGAGTATGGTGGTGGTAACACTGGGTGGGGAAGATTACTACCCACACTGCACGCAACAGCGTAAGAATGTTGTTTTTTTCCCCTCCCTTATTTTAAATTTTAGTTCCCATTCATATATTATCCTTTGCTCTGCTTCTGCAGTAGTTTCCAAATCAGTGTCTATTGTATGGACACAGAATTCATGCTGATGTTTTAAAATAATTTTCCCTACAAATCCTAAAATCAAAGTAAACATTCTTGTTTAATTTTAAGAATCAAGAGTGATTCAGTTTACTTAATTTTAACCTGTAATTCCTAACATTTCCTCTATTTTTAGAAAATGTCAAGCCCATTCCTTAGTGCGAATGTTAGAATAGTTCTCTGTTTGACTTCTCCTGTTACTGCTCTCCACTGTGGAGCAGATGGGTGGAGCTAAGACTATTAGTACTTCAAATTCTGTAACGTACTGTTAAAGCAATATACTACTAAATATTTTTCTAATTCAAAAATTAATGGTTTTTTAAAAATAGGACTATGATCTTTAGAAAACAAATCCAGTATCTGTAGAATGAGGACAAACTTTTGTATTTTGATATTTAAATACACATTTCTAAACAAGGGACATTAACCTGGGTTCGGATTTTTAGCCTAATTGCTACTGTTAAGCTATACAAATTCAAGAAAGCTAATTAAGTACACAACTAAATTTCAGTTACTGGAGGGGGTCATGCAAAACGAGTTTAATTTGCTGCCATATGTGTGTCCATAGCATGAGCTGTTAGCTTATAGCTCCAAAGTCATGCCCGCCATTCACTTGGCCATGAGTCCAAATAAGCAGCTTTGTACACATACAAGGCCATCATCCCAGTGAGGGGTGCTGAGAGTCCAGTCTTCCTCTCAAATATCTTTCCATGACCAAAGCCAATAATGAGTGAAAACAGAACAGAAGGTATTTTCCAGAACCCTAAAGAAATTGCACATACACGACTTCTCACATAAACACGCGAGTTAACTGACCCTTTGGGTCCTGAGGGAAAGAAAGCCGAGCAGGACAGTTTTAGTCAGGCAAGGGGCATGGGTCCTGGAGGCCGGGTGGCGCGTGGCAGCATAAAGGGGATTATCTTGGGGCGATGGAGAGCACCCGAGCAGGAGTCAGAATAAGTGTAGAGAACGAGGCAGTGGAAATCAGTTTAGGGAAAACAAAACCAACTCAACGTTTCTCACAGACAGGTCTAAGAAAAGGCATTTCTTCAAAACCACCTCCAGGCTCTTTTCTCACCCTGGCTACTTGCCCGGTGGTTCCAGTTTGGCTTTCACTGAAAACCAGGCACCAGCCCAGCTCATTCACTTAGAAAGTAATCTTCGGCCAATGCTAACCATGATCATCACTGCGTTTTTAAAAGTCATAATAACCAGAGTGGGTGCCATATAGAATTAGACAATGAAAGTATGTTTGTGTGTCAATGGATTGTGGTGTATCTTGGGGCCACATCAGACTTCCTGGGCTGGCCTTTAATAGATATGCCTGTAAGGCCATTTTCTGCTCAGTTCTCCCCCCAGCCANCCACCCCCCACCCCTGCCTCCCAGAAGTCTAAAACCAGGCCAGTCACACACATGGGACACACAAAGGTCCACTTCTTATTCATTTGGATGTGTTCATATGCAAATTTTATAGTAGCCTAATTCAGAAGGATTTATAGCCTCCTAGGACAGGATGTAAGTAAATATCCACCCTGCTATCTTTTAAGTAATTACACTGAAATGAAAAGGGAACAGTTTTTGGTCAGCTACAGCCAGGCTTGTAATTCTGGTTCTGACACTTACTAGCTGTGCTACCTTGAGTTACTCTTTGTGCCTCCGTGTCTTCCATCCATAGTAAGAGAATAAAAATGCTTACATCTCATGATGTTGTGAGAAACAAAGCTACATAGTAGGCACTCAGTATATGACAGTTATTAATAGTTTCTTTTCAGTTACTACATTTTCCATAAGGTCATGGAAATTGACTCAAAAACCACTGATGAAGTGAGTAGTCAATTGGATAATACCCAAGACTAAGGGTACCTTCTAAGAGCTTGTAAAGCACTGTCACCAATGGATCTGCCCCCATGATCTAGGTGTGGGGCAATAATTCTCTTGCCCTGACCTCACCTGTTCTTTCTCAATGTCCAGAGTCTATAAGGACAACAATTGGGGCAACCTCTGTCATGAGAACTGGGTAAGGGAGCCCAACTGAGGCGCTTTGGTCACTCAAAGTCTTTTGGTGTCTGCTTTTCTCTTCGTAGTGATGTGGATGCTATATTTTAAATGCTGGGCTGTATTTTGGACCAGTTTGCTGCAGTCACCAAGTTCCCTTTGCATTTTGATAAGGATGCCACAAACACCACACCACATGGGACTAATAAAGTGGCCTTTGCCCTCACTGGTGGTTTTGGCAGGAGATGCAATCCTGAACGAGCTGGCAGCCAATGAAACAGACCCAAGCTTAAGCACAGGGTTGGCAAAGCATAAGCCCAGGTGTGGATGCACTCTGGGCCTCCTATGTGAGGCCTGCCTTGGATGGAGAGTGGATAAAATTCTCTCTGTTGCATTAGAATCATTGTTTTAAAAGCCCTGGGGTGTCTCAATCATTCACCACTTCCACCAAAATTCTGCGTTGATTTTCAAATCTGACCAGATAACCCTTAACAACCCCCAAATGACAGATAACTTATAACCCTCCACTGAATGATATCTAGCCTTTAAACATTAATATGGATATTTAATAATTAATTCTTAATGTGACTCTCCACTGTAGGAACCCACATCTCATATTAAAAGAAGAGATAAAGGAACCCTCTAAAATTGCCCTTGCAGCTTTGCACGTGCAACCGGGGGTGCTAAAGCATTTCCCCATTCAAATTGCGTTTAGTCATGCAGCTTCTGGGCAGACCTGGGTGCTGATTTTAAGAAATGTGAACTCTTCTCTGGGAGCCACATAAACTACTCAGCTCACCCAGGGGAGGTGAATCAACTCTTCCAGGGTACCATTTCACAAATTGTGGCTGCAAAAATGCTAAGTCCATTTAGGTATAAAAGCCGTAACCCATATGGAACCAAAGTCATTCTGCTTTGGTTCCATGGTGGATACAAATTACAATCTGCCCACAAGCCTGAGGAAGACGGAAAAGAGAAGTAGGGCTGCAGGTGAGCCAAGATTCCAAATAACATTCAAAACCATCTTACCTGTCTTCCTGACGTTGGCCATCTTGGGAGCTACAGGTGAGGGTGGGATGTTTGAATGTGAGTGTATATGTATGAGGTTCAGTGGGGAAGTGGTAGAAGCAAAGGGACAGGGCAGGAGGGAAAGGAGGCGTATAAAAGCAGGGTATATTTTCGTGAGCAGGCAGAGGTTATGCTTTCCTTGGGGCATATGCAAATGTATGGATCAAATTAAAATGAAGGTAGGTCTAATCATTTTCTCAAACTATACATGTCTAAACTAAATGGTACACAGGAAGAGAAAGTCCACCTAATATGGGTGCTGAGAGTTAAATACACATTTATATTTTTATATCTGTTAAATGCTGACCCAAGTCATGGCAATGAATAATCTGACAGCTCCTTAATAAGTTATCTTCAGAAGAGGTAGCATTGAGTCTATATTGCTTCTTTACATTAATTGTCACAGAGTCGTCAGATATAAAGCGGACATTTATTTGTAGGAAATCGCATTGACATTATAAAGAGTAAAAAAAAAAATGCCATTAAGAGCTCTTGGAAATTCTCTCTGGCCTCTAACGTTACACAGAGCTGCAGTGAACTGAGTAAATTTGCTAGTTTCTAAAATATACAGATACCCTGTCTGCTTTTTTTTTTTTTTATGAATCAGGAACATGTTCCCAATCTGCTTCCTGTTCTATTTGAAGTATTAGACAATAACATTTTTATTGGGGTAATAAATTCCTTAGATGCTTTGTTGAAAATCTATGAAACACTTGTCAGCACAGCCCTTCTCTGGTAGCAAATGGATGTACTGAACAAATGAAAACTAAATTCATTCCATACACTTTCATGTGGCCAATATTCTCTCAATAATTTCCAAGTTACATCAAATCATTGTTTTTATTCAAAGTAAAATTCTACTGCATTGCATTTAGTTGCTTCTCATGTATTTTCCTTGCGTTTTCGTATGCACTATGCACTCTTAAGGCAAAGTAGGAAAAATGCACTACAGAACCGCTAAATTCTAGAAATTAAATGGCTCAGGTTAATAGTGCTTCTTTATTAGTGGAAAGTATGTTTCATGCCCATAGAACACTACACAGCATAAAATGAAGAGAAAGCTACTAAAAAGCTCAAGATGGTGATAGGGACATGCACTAAATGGCAACCCTTTCAAATGGCTTCATTTGAAACATTCAGAAAAGAACTAGACTTGCTCACGAAGCCAAAAACAGAGATCAGAAGGCAGCAAAGAAACAAGGACCCTTTTCCACTTCTGGGAACTTGTATTGAGAGATACAAGATAGAGAGCCAGTCACACTACAGTATTTGTATGCGCTGGGAGAGTTTGAAAAAAAGATATAAAATTATGTATAAAATACCTAAAGTATGGTCCTTCAGTGTTTTTATTCACATCTTCTACCCACTTAGCTACATTATAGTCTCTTTTGAACCATGGGTTTAAATACCTGCAGAAAGCAATGGAAGGAACAAAGAAAGCAGAACAAGATAGAAAATCTGAAAATACACAGCACAAGCTCAGCAAGGATGTTCTTCACCCTCCAAATGCAAGTGACTATGGCAAACAAACCAGGATGGATGTTGGCTGATCATGAGGCAGTCTGTATAATCACATGAGAATAAACTCAGCTGCAACCAGGCTCAAGGCATTCTAGAATGTTCTCCACATTTCAGGAAGCTTTTCCAGTGGTTTCCCCACGTGACCCAGAAGCTCTCTATCATAGTCACATCAGCAGTCCCACTCACCCACCTCCAGTGGCATTTTCCAGGCCACCTCTCATTTGGTTCCTTGGTTTTCAAATGATAATGATACTTTCTAAGATAATTCATGGCTGCAATTCCAACCTGGTGTTTGGGCATACAACACCCCAAGAACAATTAAAAAGAAAGACTTTACATGGCCTCGGTCTTTCTACTGATAGAAGATCCCAAACTGGAATTAACAAGAAAAGTACTCCAATTGGCTCTAGAAGGAGCAGGAAAGGTCCCACTCTTCTGATCCTGGAGCCCCAACGCACACTAAGTGTGGTCCAAATAGGCTTCCATAATCTTGAAGCTGGGTTTAATAATTTAGGCACAGCTGCAATGTGCCTTCCTCCTCTTCGTGCACTCCAGACCTGAGTGTTCCTGTGTCCATTAGGACATGGCCCTCGGACGTTGCCTTCTGAGTGTCTGATCACCCAACAAGTAACTGCCCGTGGGTAACAATGACCTTTATTAGCATGTCCCTGGTGGGCAAAGTCTCCACCAGAATTCATGCACAAAGGAAAATTTTAAGGGTATTAAAATTGGGAGTACAATTTTTTTTGGGGGGGGTCAGTTTCCTTTGATTTTTACCCTGGGAGCCAAGCAAAAGCACATCCCTTTAGAATCTGCCCTTGTAAAATAAATATCGATTCAACAACTTTAGTCTTGGAAGAATTTGGAAGTTTTACTGAGTTTTATCATTTAAAAAATAACTTCTACAGACATTAGAGACAATGAAGATCCAAGCTCTATAAAACTTTTAAAGTTGTTTGGAAACAAACCAGGGGAAATAATAAAATACACTATTTGTTTGTGGTGAAAGCTTGCTTCTTTCCTTCATGTTTAGTTTTAGTCTATAAACATATTTAAGTCAAGACTACATTTCCACAGTTATATAAACAAATTTGATTATTTTTCCGTAGTCATTCCCTCATTTTTACCTATAACCAATGTACGCCACAGAATAAGTTCATGAAGTTCCCTCCTGTGATAAGGGTTGGAGGCTTTTTCTGCTTATAAGACCATTTTTGCTAAGACAGTGTCCCCTTATTCAGGAACGACTCACATTAGTTTTGCCTTTAGCCACAATTATTGCCAACTTGTGCTTTTTACAGAGATAGCCAAGTAAAAGTTGCATAAAGATTTCCACTGAGACTGAACACAAAGAAAAAGTCAAAAAGCAAGTGCAGCCACAGATGAAAACTAGTGAATGCTCTGGCCTGGGGGAAACCGTAGAAAAAGCCCATGCAGGTGCTATCAGGTGAAACATAGCCACACAGCAAACTGAATCACCCACAGGCAGTTGGCCACTGCAGAGAGGGGCCACATATTCCTTTCACTGGCAATCCTAGAAGCTCAAAAGACTGGTGCCATGGCTGTTCCGCGACACCTACAGCTACGTGGCTTGACCTGCACGGGATGAACCTTTTCCGCCGTCTCAGGGAGCATCTCAGAAGGCTGTGATCATTTCACTACAGGTCATGGAACAGAGCTCTCAACTGTTGTTCCTTCTGGGGGTCGGCCCATGAACGTGTCCTCACAGTGGGCTTCCTAGTAGCTCTAGGTCATGGTAGCTGGAGTGATGGGGCTTCAACAAACTGCTATCAACCTGCCTACGTGGCTTGACTTGGCTTGTAGCGCAACATGCAAAAAAATGCATTCGACAGGCTAGGGGAGCTCATTGTGTTCTCCAGGGTGGAAAGGCAGAGGAAAATTAGCTGGTGCTGGCTGGACCAGGACCACCTCCGAACAGACGTTGGGGGTCAGTCAGAGATCAAATGAGCCTGTTCTCAGCCAAGGAAGGGACTTGGAGGGAGATTAAGTGGCAGCCCAGAATGAAGGGGCAGGTGGAGACTGACCTGTGATCCAGACTCCCTGTCTGGGGGCTGTCAGAGCCCCCTGGGCTTATGCCTTGGGATGGGACTGTCTGGGCGAGGGAGTGCCCAGGCTCAGGTGCTTGGGGCTCCCTCCTGTAAAAAGACAATATATAATACAAAGTCTAAGCCAAAAACTTTTTTTACATCATGTACAACAGTGAGGAAGATGCAAAAGCTTTGAGTGGAAAAACAATACATTAAACAAGGACATTTTATGTTGTTAATCAGCAGAGTATGTATTTGTGGTGCATTTTAAAATTCATGTCCCAATGTTTCATCATCCTTTGGGATGATGGGATACTAAAAGGAATGTTGAAATAATGGACCTGGTAATACCTCTTAGTCTAAAAAATAATGTTTCTCCATGGTCATTCTGCTCCTCACAGAGTCACACCGATGATGTTATAGTAAAAGCAAAGGGGATTAACAAATATGAATGTATAAAAAACCTATTAACATAATTCTTGATATGGTATTAGTATTCCTTTTAAGAAAAAAAAATATATATAGTATGCCTGCACAATAAGGTATCTGAGAATGTGAAAACAGTGGTCAGCTTCACAGGTTTAGCTCCATTTAGGTAACATGAGTCATGTAACCCAAATCTGAAAAGTCTGAAAAATTTGAGGAAGTCCTTAATATTTCTTCTTCACAAAGATGATTGCATTATGATACTTTATTAAATATTATAAATATATAACCTAATTATCTCACAGGCAAGGCTTCTCAAGGGCTATTTGTAGTATCACAATATTGATCACACGTCATACGTGGGACTTTTACAGAAAAATTATTTAAAATAAGTGATTACTCTAGAAAGTATTGTTATGATTTTGCTGAACACCAAGTATTCTTTGGGTCCTAAGCTCACAGCTTAATATAATGTCGGATCTTTTTTTTTTTTTCCCCCCCTTCAGTTAGGAGTTTACAAAGCCTTGTTATAGGAAATACTGTTAGGATACTAAACAGTACAGAAAGGAAGTTTTGAAGGACATTCTGCAGTTTTATCTGTACTCTTGTGAGCGACTGAGATAAGCTTAAGGAGCTCTTACCAGGTGACCTCATGCAAAACAAATCAAACAACATTCCAAGAAGAGTTTATCCTCAGTGAGTCCTAAAGCATCCAGCTGCTTTGGGAATGTACAAGATAAACTCGAACAGATCAGTTATTCAGGATGGAGCTCTAGGATGCCATTCTGGACCATGCAATGGTATCACCTGAACCCGTCTACTGTTTCTATGGTAAAATACCTTCTCGGAAACTTTGACAAGCCACTTACAAGACAATACCATCAGCAGCAAGGTCCAAGTTTCAGGGCAATGTTATTGTCCTGGACTGTAAAAAGGCAGGGTATATGATGGAGAAGCTAACGTTAAGTCTCTGACAAGCAGTTACCAAATACCTGCTATTCCGATTTCTTAAGTATTAAGGCATAAAGAAGCAATAGCGATCCTGGGAATAATCGCTAGCACTAGTGAGACATCAGCAAGAAAAAAAAAATTAGGTGGGTTAAAAAAAGAATGGTGATTTAAAACCAGGTGGCAAGGTCCAGAAGGAAAGCAGAGAATGTGCTTTATTCCATGATGGGAGATAGAGGTTTGAGGAAGCTTGGTTTTGCTTACACTTGATTAAGTGGAGAAACATTTTTTTTTTTTACAAAGTGCATGGTGTTTACCTTATTATAAATGACTTCACTGTAACTTCGGACCCCATCCCCAGTTAAGAAAAAAAAGAAAATGTGTGGCTATCATTCAAAACGGATAGTGTTGCATTTAGGGACAATGATTCCGTTAAAGAGCAAGTTTAGGTAAACGCCCTTTTAAAAATGTCCTCAGAAGGGAAATGTAAAAGGGAAACTAATTCCATTAGTCTGAGAGAATGCTTAGAGTGCAGCCATGAAGCCCCCGGAGCAGTGGAGCCATTGTGAGCAGTATCATGCTCTACTATGGTGGCAAGTTCCCCCTGATGCTTCTAGGCTGTGTGAATATTAGGGGAAGGAAGGGTGACCCCTCTGAAATGGCTGGATCCCGGGTGATGAGAAGAAAGGAATGTTATCAAAATTTCCTTGAAACAGAACCAAGACACCACAATGGCAGGTTACTGGAGGAAAAAGCCTGCAGTGAGGGGGAGGCCCCCACTATCAGTGAATATTGGTATGGGCACAGTTGCGGAGATGCCTATGTAAAAGAGAAAAGCCATGGTTAATTTTATAAATGGCAAAAACGAATTCAGAAGACAAAACCAAGACCAGAGGCATGGTTTACAGTTCTCTGATGAGCTGGTTAATTAACTTTTCAAACTAACTGCATAGGACCTTGGAATGCCTTTTTTCATTAGAGGTTCAGACTTACTCAGTTGAATTAGACCGAGGTCTAAATCTTTTGCCTCTGATTTTCTTTCTGTTGCCTCCCAGGTTACCTGAAAAAGACGGTTTATAGCTAGATTTGAATATAAACAAATAACTGCCATATGCTTAATTATATGGTATTTCAAGTGGGCATAATTCACCACCAGCACCACCAGAACACAGGGCGTTACAGCTCTGTACAGCCTTCTCAATGTGCCTACTACACTGGTGCTATCCAATCCCATCATTTCCCATCCAAGGAAAAAAGAACTGGATTCATAATACATGTCCTCTTCTCTATTGGGAGAAGAGCTTAAAGAACTTACAGAAAAGAACAAGCCTTTACAACCAGGGACCACAAACAACAGAACTTGGGTTATGTGGACAGATGGATTCAAAATGCCACCCTATACCTTGCCAAGAGTTACTTCGAGGTCGCCCATTTTCGCAGATGTCTGAAATATGTTTTGTGTCTGGGATCCTTTCACTCCAAGAATGAGAGAGTCCATTTGACCTGAAATTGAAAATGTGTATATATTGTTCAAAAATATAATCAAATGAATATTTTGAAATCAGTAAGCAAAATTTCTAAGCATTGCTGTGCATTAAATAAAATAAATCAAGAAAAAAAATCTGAAATGAAAGAATGAAGAGAACATGAAAGTCTTCATGAAGAAGGCAGAATTACACAACATTCAACTTAAGAAAAGTCAAATACAATGGAACCCCATTATAATAGTTTATAATTGAAAAGTGTCAGGATAGAATGCAAGCCAATTACATCCCCTAGAACACAGCAAGTACATAGAGCAAATTCACAACATATTTTAGGTATATAACCTGAGCAGCAGTTATAATGGGGTCCCACCATAGATGTTTCTTAATTGTAAAGCAATGGTTTCCATTCAAATATTATGAGAACATGGACTTCCAAGAGATTTCATTAGGATTTGCTCTAGTGAACCTGGCTAACCTTTATCAGAATACTATTTAGGTTTCCTTAAACAATAAAATTATTTTCTGAGAATTGGCATTTTCTCCACAAATATGCCCCTCCCCCAAAATGTAGTACTGTTCATTAATTGTCCAATAACTGAATTGAATGGGATGTTTATCATGGAAGTCTCTCTCACAAAGCCCAGGAACCATTAAGCCCTTCTGTTGTTTGTGTCCTGCCATCTCTAAATGAATTGTCTACAAGAAGCAGAATTTACAGACCTACCTTGTACCACATAAAAAAAGTATTTTAACAAACTACATATACTTGGAAGGTGTCACATAATTGGATATAATTTTTAACTGCTTAAAAGTCATAACCCATGGAGATTTTGCTAAAATCTGGGAATTAGTCAATCAATATTTTAAGTTCTTCTTGAAGTACTTAAGAAAACAGCACTATACTTAAAATCTTTTCCACATATCGTTCCAGTTAATTGCTAATAATGTCTATTTTAAAAGGAAACTTTTACTAATGAATGAAAATAAATGGAACTCAGCACAATTATTATATATTAATTCCCTAGATTAGAACTTTTTCAACATCATTTGCTAATTATAGAATGATTTTTATTTTGTACAAAAGGAAAACAGAAATTTTGCTGGAATCCATTGATTTTTCCACTTATTTACCATGTTATTTAATTTAAAATTAAATATTTGACCAAGAAAATATTTATATGTTGGCAGAATTTAAGTAAATCTGATTCTCTTAGCCAAAAACCCCCAATAAATTAAAATAATAAAATTTTTCAAACATCCCTCCATAGACTTGTACTCCTGCAAAAACTAATATTTTTATTTTTGCTTTAAGCTATGTTTTCTGAGTAAAAACACTCTTTCAGGCTTAAGACCGCTTCACAAAGGTAGAGTTCCCAGATCTCACTAATTCCTTCTATTCTCCTTCCTGATTGTTTATAAAGAGTGTTATTCACTGAAGCATTTTTACAGATGATTTACTCTATTTAGAACTCTAAAAGAAATCATGTTTCTTCTCAATAAACTAACAATTTTCCTTTCAATCTACAAAGTAATTACTGTGCTCAAAGTAATGCTTGGGGTTATCAAATCTTCTTTTGCTATACATTAACCCCTTCCCAACACTTTTAAAGAAACTCTTCCACAGGAATACTTTAGCTTACTTCAGTGTGAATGTAGGTCTCATTTCTTAAAACATTGCAACTATTGTTTCTTTTATCAGTTTACTTTATTAAGCAATCATAAAAGCATGCAGAATTTTAAATGGTCATATACAACTTAAGATCCTGGAGCAAGAATATAGCATCAAAGTTCAAGACATAAATAATATATGAACCCCACCACACTATTATAAGACTCACAAACATTAAATACACTTAAATTAACTTGGCAACCAAGTTCTAAGTTATAAAGTCTAGAAATAATCATTTCAGGAATAAAAGGCAAAATCATAATATTCAAATATATGATTCACAGAGAAGCGATCTTTTTTTCACAGCAAGCTTAGCTTTGATATGTTTAAAATTCAAAAATAATCAACGCAGCATTCATATTATCAATTTATTTTAACAAATGCTTTTATTGAAGCATGACAGTAACCTTTTTCTTTGACTACCAAACATGACATAAAGCTCACCATTTAAAATATGATAACATACTCTGTATTGTTTCATAAGCCATTTAAGAGCAAGATTGAAAAATCCGAGGGTTCTATAAAGATTTAAAGTTATTCTTCGTTTAGTTTTGTTTTGTTTGGATTTCTGGCCTGATTTATTAAACAAGTGGTTTGAGCATATGGCATTTTGAAGCAGAGTAATCAAAGAACAAAGGATACTATTTTTTAACATTCAAGAAAGAAGGAAGAAGTAATCAAACCTGCTGCAAAATAATGAAATGTTCTGACTAATGGAATAATGTGTGATGGAACAGGTAGAAATCTGAAAATGCGACAGAAAAGCAGACCTCTTCTTAGAACTAGATGCTGAGTTTGTGCTGACTCCAGGAGGAATGTCGCTATAAAAAGAGTCACCATCTCCAGGCTTTTTTACATAATCTCCCTGGGGTAACTGTCTAAGGCATAATAAACATTTCAGAGTCAGAAAACAAGACACACACATGAACACAGACATATACAAATATTATTTTAGGAAAAAAGAGGTAGGGATAATGATCTATATGAATCAAACCTATAACAACACGTAAGATTATTAATAAATGTGACAAGTTAAAGTCATTCTAACTGCAGGATCAGAAATGCAATCACTTAAATCTTTACAGTCTGGATGAATAAAGCCTTGCTTCAAGGGAAAAATCTAGAAAGATGAGATATTTCATTGTAACTTCATTGTACTTGGAGAGGTTAACTTCATTTTTGTCTTAAAAAAATAAAATGGAGCTGAAGGAGAGGTGTTGGGACAGACAATCCTTGCCCAGAAATGGCATATATTTTTTTCACCATGGTGAATAAACTACTCATGATTTCCAAACATTATATAATGTAAACTTGATTGGTCTTAAGAAAAAAACACCTATGTTCTATAATGTATATCCAGATAAATTCTTATTAGAGTTCTCTGCTCAATTTGGAATTTCAGTGTTCATTTATCAGCAATATGAAGAAATGGAAAAAGATTCAAAGGCAAGTCAAAAATATAATTGTCTGTACAGTAGAATATGTAAAGGAATATAATTTAGCACAGAAAAATAAGGTTGAAAAAAATAACTGAATTCTTGCTGAGACTATAGAAGGATATTTATAGGTAGTTGGTGGGTGACCTGGGTTCTCTATCTCCACTGTAGAAGGTGTTCAACAAGGGAAAATCTATTTAATCTGCACTGTTACTGATTCTGCCCGCTCTGAGTTTAAAGTAACTAAGAGTGAAACAGATTTTTATTACTTTTCCTAAAGATCAGGGTAGAAAACTATAGATCAAACCACCTAGTCAGCACCTCTTCCTCAGTAGCTAACTTAGTCATTTGCCCAGGCATGGCCCCCAAGTGGCCAACTGAATCTCCAACTGGATTTGGTTCCATCAGTTCTATTGTTGGAGGTGCCACGAACTAGTGTTAGATGGAGAATTCTAAACAGAGCTGTACTTAAATAGGTCTCCAACAAAGGTATACATTTGCTAACTCCTTTAACCATTTGGTTTTTCCTTAGTTACCAAACCAGCTTCTCTTTACTTGGCTCTGGCACTCAGGCATTTACCAAGGTGTCACTTAGCTGACAGCACAGGCTTCAATGGACCGCCTCTCTCAATGGATGGGACCCAGTATTTTTTTTTAACTGAGCACATTTTACCACTCCTTCGATGCAATTGAAGTACATTGTTATCTTTTATAGAGTGCACAAACATCTTAAATGCTAAGCATAGAAACTGTGGGCTTCAATTAGAGGGTTGGAAGGGGGTTTAAATTCAAGAATTTCTTGGGCACAGCCTTATTTTTATCATCCTGGGAAGATTACAGTCTTACCTATGTCTATTGTGAAGTCTTCAAAATACAGAAACTATTCTGCATTCTCCTTAAAATTCTACAAGGACTACGTGTAACTTTCTTTACATCATAAATGCATAAAAATGTTCATGAGTATTCAGTTTGTTAATCTCAATATTTAACATTCACCATCTATAAATTCACCTTTTTGATATCGAGTACATATTATAGCAACCTATTTCTTCTTGTTTAACCTTTAGTGAAGATAGAGAATATCAGGTCGCCATGATCAAGAAAATAACATTTCATCATTTGCTATAAAAAATTATAAATGACCAAACTAAATGATCTCTTTAAACTTAAGAAATAAATGAATTTATTTTTCTAGTCTTTACTGCTTTTTTTCCCAAAATTTTGCTGTTTCACAGAAGTTTGGAATCTAGATGTGACTACATTAGGTGGCCTGACAAGTGTTAAGTTTTATAATGGGAAATTTTCCCATATTACATGTAAATATCTTAGATATGTGCATGAATTTTTTATTAAATAATGACCAAAAAAAATCTTATTTAATTAAATTCTTTTTCCTCAGAAAGGATCCCTGGTACGAGGGAAGTCTGATCTTTCCTAAAAGGGCTCACTGAACCAAATATTTAACTTAATAACCCTTGCACATATGCAAAATGAGAATATAATGAAAAAAAAAATAAGTCTTAACCTTAATGCTGAAGGAGACATTTCTCCAGTGCTTTGTGGGTGTCAGGGTCATCTAGTATTATTGAAATTGTTACTTTACTGTTTTAAGAAATATTGTGTAATGTGTACCAAGTCACACTGACAGATGTATGACTATCACCAAAATAATAGTAATATAAAACAAACCCAGGAAGGTTGGGGGAAAAAAAGGAGGGAGGTTCACAAGCAGAAAATAAAGTGGCTAAAACAGGTGAGAGAGAAAAGAAATGAGGAAGGAGATTTCTGCTTAAGATATAGGTCAGTAATAAATGATCTAATTGTTTATTTCATTTCACGTTAATCATAATGATGTGTGTTCATTTCAGAAAAAGGAAGAGAATATTTCAGCTGAATATAGGTGTTTTATAAATCCAAGTTCAATTAATGTTTTCTTATGCTATTGCTATTTGCAAGCCTGTTTGAAAACTATAAATCAAACTTGTAACAAAGTATATAGCTACAAAGTCCTAGAGCAATTATGCTAAAATATAAACAATAGCATCAACTGTAAAATGATGGAGGTCATGTTTCCTGAAGACTTTAAAGGAAAGGATCAAGTCATCCTTCTAATTACATGGTGTGTAAGAACTCTCCGTGGCTCCTAGGATCCATGGTTCTATCCTTTACAATATGACACTGTCAGATTTAAAGTGATATTCATGTAAGGGGTTCTGCCTCCACTCTGCCCAAAAATGGGACTTCTGGTTTTCATTAAGCAATTTGTCAACAAAAAGAAAAAAAATGGGTTTCCATCTTTTCATCAGGCCCACAATTAAATCTATCACACATTCCTTCATATAATGAAAACCCTGAGGACATGTTCTCTGGAGGAAAAAAAATTACCAGGTTATCAGAATTACTTGCTTGACCTCTCCAGTAATTTGCAAGTTATGCCCAATTGGACATTTCTGAGCCATTATATTATTAACGTGAATCTGAAAACTGGCTACCTATTTAATATGGTCTTGCATTTAGCATCAAAGCAACCTGATATGTTCACCCATTCTTTCCCCAGCTTAACCAGTATGTGTGGGTGTCACTTATGTGGAAGAAAGCTGCCTTCCTTTTTGAAAACAACCATACCCACCTCTTTCTTTTGAAGGTCAGGGAAACAAAGTCTTCAGAGACCATATACTAATAACTTCCCTTCCTATATGCTTTACAGATTACAAAGAACTTGATCTGATTTTAGAGTTGAGGGAAGTTTAAGTGATTTTCCAAGACCACATACTACCAAGTAGGTTTCTGATTCCTTGTCACTTGGTCCTCCCACCATGGCATCTCAAAGAAAAACTTAATTTAAAGGCAAAGACAACTCAAAATTCTTATTTCTACTCCCTGGCATCATTTTAAATGGGGCGCATCTTTATTTGAGTATCTGCAGATATTTTTATGAGATTGCAAGTTTCTTAATGCATGGCTTGGGCGCTGGTCTTACCATCTTCTCTGTAACCACTAACATATATTCTCAAAAAGGAAAATCCTTCATAAGATATGTATCCATTCACAACTTCCTGATCTAAAGTCCATTCTTTGCTAGCTCTCATTGTGAAAAGTATTGTACAAATTTAAGATTCACTAACTATGGACAGGGCAAAAATAAATACAGGTTGTGTTAAAATAAATCAAATTATATAAAATGAATACCTGCTGAAGATGTGACAACTCTCAAAACATGAACTAGATTCTGAGACATTAGCCGATAGATGAAATGATGACTCAGTAATACCAGGAGGCAGGAAATTATATCAGGTACATAAAGGAGGGTCTTACTGTAAAAATTTTCTTAACTATACCTATGCATACATTGAATTAGAATAAGAAACTGATACACTTTTACATACTAATCATTTTTTGTAGTGTGGACAATTCCTTTACTCTGGATAGTATCCCTAGTGAGAACACATCTTAGAACATGGCTTTAGTTTTGCTTATGTTACATATTTGTGACATTTTACTCTTCTTTTTATATAGTCATCAATATTAAATCACCTTATAGCCTCAGCACCTATGGAAATGGAGCTGAATCATCAATGTGTATCTTATTAGCTTAATTCTGTTTTTCACTGAATAAAACCACCACGCTTAGATTTCTGATATGACTGATCAACTTCTACCCAACAGAAAGCTTAAATAGCTCCAGCTCTTGTCCAGTGTTTTAGGACACAAGAGTTGAAAACATGGCAAAAAGAAATCTAGCTGCTTTTAAATTTAACTACTTTTGCCTCAGTTTTACTTCTTCTGTTAATGGCAAGTTAGTTACTCCAGGGCCAGGTCAATATTTTCTAATATCTATGCTAAGTGACCAGGATCTCAGTTGGGACCCTGTGGGCACCACTTATTCACAGACTCTATAAGATACTTACAGCTAAAGCCTTGTAGGAATTTTATATTACAACATAGAAGCAAACAGAAGAGTAAAGTTTATAAATTTAATTTGTGAAAAAATGAAAACCGTGGTTAGGGCTTGAAAGTCTCACCATGTTTATTACATCTTATTCCTAATCTGCCACAGGCCTTTAACAAAACAGTAGGGAAAGTAAGGAGGAATACGCAAAGATATTTTGAGTACAAAATAGTACTACATGATGTGTAAGACCTGGTCTCAGTTATCAATTTCCAGGGTATTTAAAATTTTTTTTTGTATCAATAGCTAATAGCATTAGTGATTTTTTTAAATGTGAGAAGCATAGGGTGTACCCCAATATGGGCTAATTTAGATTTATTAAAAAGTAGGCAATTCTTACAGAACTGCATAAATCTTTTTGTATCCGTGTTTACACTGTAGTTTAAACATAGATTTTAATGTTATGATGAAAGGGGTGCTTGACTTTCCGGGCTTTTTTATTAAAAAAAGTACACTAGATGATCAGAGATTCCAACTACACAAACTAATTCTTTAACTATCTGTGAAATTACCTGATCAGTACAAAAAATATTTCCTTATGCAGAAATGAAACAGGCTCATCAAATGCCAGGGCAGTCTCCTGACCATCACACCGCGCCTATAGAAATTGTATCACTTATGAAAGGAAGTTACTGATATAACAACAGTAACAAAAAATAAATCCCCTCAGAATGTATTTGACAAGAGTGTTGTAAAGCCAATTAACTAACATAAAAAAAGGTGACAGCTTAACATAGAAGAAGTTTGTTTTAGATGGAAAAAAAATCCATTTCCATATATATTATGATAAAAGTAATACAAATAAGAATTTCTATTAATTGTAGTACACATGAAAGAACCATTAAAATTAAATAATGATAGATATATTTTAAATTAATACACTCCATGACATCATTATTAAAATTTTAATCAGTTTAAGGTCATGAAAACCCACAATTAGTTTATGATCGCTACAGCATAAAAACAAAGCAAACTTGATTTATCATTCCATGTATGAATTCCAAAGATGCTAAAAGGATTTAAACCTTTTGTTTATATGTTCAGATTATTCTCATCACATACCTCTGTTCTCGATAGTTTCTTTTCATGGACAAGAAGAGAGGAGGAAAAAAAAGAATTAGTTACCTACGAAAGTACATTAACAGACCGCACTAAACATAAAAACTCTAGCATACATTGAAAGGTTTCCACTAGAGGATTTTGAATGCAGAATTAAAATGGGGAATACATATAAAGTCACATAAACACAAATTTCACTTATCTTTAGAAGTGATACCAAAGGATTAATGACAATATATTCAAATAACTATTTTTTAAAGCATAGAAAACTTCAGTTATTAAAGAGTACCTTTCCTTAACATCGATTGCATCATACCAGATATTAAGTAATGTTCTAAAGTCAATTCTACTTCAAATACAGGTTTTCAGATGTGTATACTAATTTAAATAATGAAACTAAATAATCAAGTTACTTATATAAATTAAATGTTTGCATAAAAATAAAAATCATAATTCATTCATTTTTGGATACATACAGTATATGCCCCAAACTATGATAAATTAGTGAGTTAATTCACAGCTGTTATGGACCGTCTAAGTTATTATTACTTAATCACATTAATTAGCAAGAAACACTACTTCACATTAGAAATACTTTGTTCAAAGTTTAGTCTGTTGTATTTTTTTAATTTTGCCATATACTAAAATAAAACTACGTGAGTTTTAAAACAAACCAATCTTAAAAATGTGTTCTAGAGGTTGTGGTAGTGAGGTATCAGTAAGTTTTAATTTTTAACTCAAAATAGTTAATTTCTAACTTTCCATCCTGACCTAATTAAATGTTATTCTTAAGACATGTTAGAAAGGTCAAGCAACTGAATGGTAGACTCCTTCCTCCAAGATCAAAATAGCTCTTCCACATGGATTTCGTTTGTAGCACCTTTACCTGCCAATCTATTCTGTGCACCCAAAAAGCATCTTGTTTAATAACGAGCTCATGAGGGTAAAAGTGCCAATTAGTTACTTATTATTTTTCATTCTTGCAACTGTCAGATGGCGAGGGGAATAAGGCCCAGGATCTTTCTAGTCAACATGTTTTACTTTTTGATTCTCTCAATCGATGACCTGAATGGTCCACCAGTTCCTAATGAGTATTCCTCATTTCTTATTCTGCCGTTCCCCCACTCCAAGGCTTGGAGAAGGGTTAGAAAGTTTAATTGGAAGGATTAATGAGAAAATGAGTTCTCAGGTCCTAAATCCATTTTTTAATTTAAAATAGAAGATGGGAAACATCATATTCATGAATTTAATTTTTGTATTAAAAATGTCTACATTCTCATTCTATTTTTAAACATATTCTGAATAAGTTTAGTAACATTAAAATTTTCATCATTTAGGTTCAAATTATTTATGAAGAGGATACTGCGGTATGATCAAGATTTGTCTTTTTCCTTAATGAATCTACAAAGTACATATATTCAGAAGCGAAAAAAAAAAATAATGACACCTCAAAGGAATTTCATGAAAATGAGAAATGATATACAGAAAGATGTATTTTTAATTCTAATCATTAAAACAAATGGACGCAGCTCATTTTATTAGTAATTGGAGATGGTTAGGTTTCAAATTAGCTGAAAGGTAATTTTAGCATTTAGCTAAGATCCAATTTTCAAAAGTTACATAGCACAATTTTTTAAAATTTATAAATAAAACCAACAAATTGGAAGTTGAACTCTGAAGCTTAAGAATTAGACTTTTAAAAGCTGTAACTTAAAGTTGAGTTTTCATTTTAACAGTCTTTTCTTCAGACAAAATACCCCATATTTGACAAATAGTGCCTCCTACAAACTGGCTGGGAAGATGAAGAGGTTTTGCCCTTCGCGTGACGCACAGCTGTAGCAGGCACTCAGCACCAATCTGCTGCTGCTGCTCTGGTTGCTGTGACTCTTATTAAAGCCCTGTGATTACTAATTGACTATCTTACTACATTTCCGGGCATGAGTTTCAGTCAAGAGAGGACCTGGGTCATTAAAGAGCAAACCAACACAACCTCTGTATAAGACACAATTTAGATTGATTTTTACTTCACGTAATGGCTTTAAGATGACATTCAGGACTTTTAGAATAGATGAAGACTTATCTCAAACTCTAAAAAAATGATAAATTATTATTAGCTGTAACCATGCCAATAATAATCACTGATTGAGTGTTGAGCCAGGCTGATTTTCACTACAGGTATGTGTATCACAAAACTGTCTAGATGTTTAATTCATTTAAACAAAATGTCTTAAAGTATATTTTGATAGTAAAAATACTGAGACGTTTCACTTACTTATAACCCCATGCAGTTATTCCTAATATGAGGGCCAGCACTAAAATGGTGCCAGCAATTATGCCTATTATGATATTGGTACCAGCAACACCTGTGAGGCAAAAAGAAACAATGAAGGTCAGTGTATATCAGTGAAATTCTGACACAAAATTATTTCAGGAACTTTATTCTCCAGATTTGTAATAATCACACCAACAACATTATTTAAAAATATTTTTAGAAGTGGGCATTTTTTAAAGGGAAAAAATAATAGCTTAGCAATGGCACCAATTGTTTTGTTTTCTTTTTTTTTTTTTTAATCCTTTGTGTATGTTCCCTTTTAATTCTTATCCAAATGTATTTTGCACATTTATATTTTCCATGTATTTTTCTGGAAAAATCTGATGAGGTCATTGAACTAAACCAAAGAAAAATAAAGATAATACTACCATATTGGCATAGCACCCGTTGGGGAGAGACTTTTAGAAATCCTTGTTTCTTTTGACCTTGACCTCGTCCTCAGAAATTCTAGAAATATTATTGTTCATATCACTCCATTCTGTCAACTAATATAAGGTCCTTATTGCTCTCGGTTGTGTATGTGATATTTTGTCTCTCCAAGGAGAAAACATGTCTACAGGTTTATATAATCAGAGCTCAGGTGGTGAAACGGTAAAAGCACTGGGCTTCTAGTTCCCCGTCTTGGCAATCATGGCCGTAGCGCACCCTAGAAAAGGAAAAACCAAAAGAAAAGAGAGAGTCTGGTGGGCTGGAGATTGCGTCAGGCAGGGCTGACGCTCTGCAGTCGACAATGGCCCTGTGCGTCAGCATCTATTGTCAGGAGGCTGACATGTAATCCTTCAGGGGATCATGGCAGTGAAATGGCCCAGTGAGTCAAAGGCTTGGTCAATAAGCCCAAGTGAGGGACCAAGAGCTGAAAAGGCAGGTCAGAGTCCTGGCTCTGATACCAGGAGAACTGTTTTGCCGATAATGATTTATACCACGTGTTTAAATCACCCAGGTGTGTTTCCCTCAGAGCAGCTCAGATCTGCCCTTGTCTGCTGCACTCCTGAGGCATCTGTCTAGATATCAAAGATCAATAATCATGGATGGTTGGAGCAGACTCCAACTCCCCGTGACCACAGCAGCAGCCTCTCTGCCTGGAAGCCCTCCACAGTCAGGTTGGACAGCAGGGTTAGGGCATCTGAAGAGACTGACAGATGCCACCCTGCCCGGGTCTTCTGTGGGATGGGTGGATGCCAATGCCAGGGACCCCTGGGCCATTGGGATGTTTCCTTCTCTAAGACACAGCATGTCTCTCTTCCCTTCCTCTTCTTCCAGGGATTTAACATCAATCAATAAACGTGGATGCCAGTCCTGATTATTTCTAAGTAACGGTATGATTTTGACATGTCACTTAAATCCATGGCCCTGAATAGCTTCATCTCTGCATTACCTGCTGGAACAAGTGCCTGAGTACCACTGCTAAGACTGAGCATACCAACACCTTAATCACTCTGTGACTTCCTTTATTAAAGTCACATTGGCTAAGATTTTTAACCTGTCTGGATTAGAATGAACATACTCCTTTTTTCTCATCCTTTGTGAACTGACGTCAGGGCTTGAGCATTTTTTAATGTGAAAGAATACTCAATAATGACATCATAAAATAGTTTAACAGGGGACGTTTACCTCCAAGATCTGCGTTCTCCCAACTATCTGCATTTAATTTTTGCTTTTCCATTTGGGCCACTTTAGCTTTTAGAAGTGCATCTGTTGTTTCTTACCCATGTGCTTAAACCCCTTCCAGGCAGGCGCTGGCCAAGGTTACTACTTCTAGAATTCCCTACGGTTCAGGCTACAGAACTGAGGTTGACTACAAATGAGATTCTAAGATAAAGAATATTAAAGTCAACAAAATATTTAAAAATTATTTCTTTAATTTTTTTTATTTATTCAGTCCCCAAATATAAAATTCTTCCTTTTAAATTCAGAGAGTTAAGAAGTGACTACATTCTTAACTTAAAAGAAATGCTAGCGTTGGTTGTCAGCCCCGAACAAGTACAATACTTGAAAAATCTCCATCTGCTGTAGGACAAGGCACGCATAATGCTAAATCAGTGGACTGAGTTATATTCATTATTCCATAACATTATAAGTTCATGGAAACCATCAGTTTCATAATGTGGACCCCAGTTGTATATTGTAGTTCATTATTATGTGGATTTAATTTATATCTGAGTTATAAAAACAATCCAGATGAAACTGTCTGAAGGACAGCTTTCTCTTTCCTTGTGTATAACAGATTAAGTGCCTACCATTGCCAGCCAGAGTTATGCCAGTCTTTGCATCATCGTTGTGGGGGAAGTAAGTGCTGCAGTCTGCGCCAATCCAGTGTCTGTCACACACGCACTTCAACTCATTACTGCAAACCTGAAATCCAAAATCAGTCTAGAGCAGCGGTTCTCAACCTTTCACAGGGGTCGCCTAAGACCATCAGAAAACACATATTTTTCGATGGTCTTAGGAACCGAGACACCGCTCCTCTATCTGTCTCCAGGCCCACATGCAGATACGCCCACATACGAGTACCCAGCGACCCCTGTGAAAGGGTCATTTGACCCCCAAAGGGGTCACGGCCCACAGGTTGAGAACCGCTGGTCTAGAGTAAAAGTCAACTCTCTGGTACAGAGGCATGGAAAATACACATTCATTTCTAATTATATGCCTAGAATTCGATGGAACTAAAAACTTATTTTCTTCTTAATGCTAATTACTTGTTTTTTACCCACGTGCCTACAACAATATTGAGAGCTCAACAGTTGACCCAAAGGGAATAATAAATTTTAACAGAGTAATGAATTTATATGTCTAAAAAAATCAATTAAATTATTGTTTTGAATTTCATTAAATTTTATAAGAGGGAGATTTAAAAACCTAAGCAGAAATAACAATCATTTGCCAATTATCCAATACAAAGAAAGAAAGAAAGTTTTATACTAAAATTTAGTCGTCTTTTAGAAAGCAGAATGAGATAAAGATAAACTGGACAAAGAAGAGGAGAGGCCTGATGCTTTTCAGTGGTCTGAGAAGAAAGCTGCACAAAGCTATAACCTTGGCACCTTGGCCCAAGCTACAGAGATTAGCTACCTCTGGGTCATGGAAACTGAACTCCCTCAAACAAAGCACAGGAGAAAAAAATTAACATAAACATGAAACTAAATTTAAAAAAATTATCAGGCAATAATCTGTCTTCATTTACAGAATCTTCATTAACAGAATCTATACCTAGATCTTATAACTCAAAACAACTTTTAATGGAGTGGGAAGTAGGGGAGAATTCAGTTAGGTAGGTTTAAGATCAGAGCAACTCTTCAGGAGGTAGGTTTTCACTGGATGGGTTTCTGTCTTTTGTCTGATCTAGTTTGCCGGAAGATGACATCCATAGCTAAATGTAACTATAAAATATGACTAACAAATTACAGCTCTCAAATTAATTCAGATTAACAAATTTCTGCAGATTAACAAATATGCAGGTTTAGGCTTAAAGTCTAAAGGCCTGGCTTTGAGTTCCCTTTTTACCACTGTCTATCAACAGACCTTAACCAGATCAACTGGCTTCTTCCAAGTTTCAGTTTCTATATCATACAATAGCAGCAGTGATATAGTGACAAGTGTATAGTGATAATAAAAACCAGAGTCATAGCTAACACTTATTGAACACTCCCTATGTCAAAGGCATTAAGTATTATGTATAACTTAAAAGTGTTAATTCATTGATTCTTCATAGCAATCCTGTAAAATAGGCAATATCATTATTCCCACTGTATAGTAGAGAAATTGAGTCACAGAGAGGCTAAGTAATTTGCACAATCTCACCCAGTTCATAAGAAGTAGAGCTGCGATTCAAACTCCGACTGTCTGATCCAAGCCCCAACTCTTCACTATATAATGCATAGTGCATAAGAATATCTATTTTATTTCTCATATTAATTTTAGTCACATAGACAGTTGAGTTACTGTAAAAATACATAGGCTATAGCCTCTCTGGATTATCCATACTTATTGTAAATAATTTGCATACTATTTGCCACTTGATTTACTTGTGTCTATCACTCTTTTACTCATCCATTAAACAACTGGCTAACTAACACAGCTATGTTTGGACTCTGTTATATACTCAGGGTTTCTAGATGAATAAGATATGGTTATGCACTAGCATGAATGATCAAGAAAAATCTTCCATTATTCTTTTCCCCTGTCCCTCCAAAAAGCATTCCCCCCTAAGATACTCTTACTTATTAAGGAAAGAGGTCTTAGCAGATCCCTTCATAGGAGCAGAACTACTTACTTTAATGACTTCTCTATTTAATGTGCCACTCCTATCCTTTGGCAAAGAGTCATGATTAGTAAGCCCACTCTAAGACATTCTTGGCATATTCCTTGGGGATATACATGGGATGACGAGGATTGCAGGCTTACAATTCCAGGACAGGGATCCTTTACCTCAACTGGATAATACAACCAGTTCAAGCAAAGAATCTGGAATGAGGGTAAGAAGAAAATCACAGCACGTGCCAAAAGAAAAAGAACCCAAAAACGTTTTGTTAGTATAGGAATTCCTAACTGAAAATAACAAAACTGGAATCACTAATAGAGCCTGTTTATTTAGCCTATAAACTTACTTCTTTATTTTATTTTCAATTACAGTTGACATGTAATATTATTTTGTATTAGTTTCAGGTGTACAGCATAATGGTTTTATATATATATATATACATATATATATGTATGTATATATATATATAATTTATGAAGTGATCCGCCTGATAAGTCTAGTACCCACCTGATACCATACATAATCATTACAATATTATTGACTATATTCCCTATGCTATACTTTACATCCCCACAATTATTTTTTTTCTTTTTTAAATTTATTGGGGTGACATTGGTTAATAAAATTATATAGGTTTCAAGTGTACAATTGTATAACACATCATCTGTATATCGCATTGTGTTTATCACCCAGTCAAATCTCCTTCTGTCACCATATATTTGAACCCCTTTTTCCTCTGCTTCCACCACCCCCCTTTCCCTCTATTAACCACTAAACTGTTGTGTATGTCTATGAGTTTTCGTTTGTTTGTCTGTCTTGTTCATTTGTTGCTATCAGTTTTGTATTCCACACATGAGTGAAATCACATGGTTCTCGACTTTTTCTGTCTGACTTATTTTGCTTAGCATGATATTTCTATAGGACCTATTAGGTTGTCGGATAAGTCATGATGCATTTTTGCAACAAAAAACATAGAAAAAATATGTCATGACTTTTCTGATAACCCAATACATTATCAGATATGACTGAAATAATAGAAGTTAGACTTTGAAACAATGCCATTCTTTCTGGTCATCTGTGAGAAACATTTCCCTAAATTACTGTTTTTATTTCTAGGCGTTCTCCTCAACTGATAAACACTGGTGTGGCTACGGTGGTTACGTATGATGTGTTCTAATCGGTCAGTTCCTGGACCATACAGTTGTTAAATATTGTGGCCACTGTCCCTGTTTTTTACTCTTTTTTATCCCATATATTGTTTCCTAGATCACTTGTAGAAAACTGACATTACAGTATATGAGATCACATTAACATTATAAGAAAGGCAGGTGAAAGAATTTGGTTAGGAAGATTAGGTTTTTTTTTTATTCCCAGGCTTTTGCAGATTACACAGTGAAATATTCAAATCAATGACTATGATAAAATAACTTTGTACAAGCCAGCTAGAAACATGGATAAGCACGTTTTCCATTATTCCAGAAATACGCAGTGTAGGGTCATATCTATTAGGTTGTCGGAAAAGTCATGATGCACTTTTGCAACGAAAAACAGAAAAAATACGTCATGACTTTTCCGACAGTCCGATATTTCTGTGACATTAAAGAACTGAGTAGCTCCCCCTGGCGGGGTACTGAATACTCACTCCATTTCCTGAACACACAGTGCCTTCTTTATTGCTTAAGCAAGTACTAAAGTTGAAGGAAGCCACAGGAAGACACCTGTGTTCTAAGCACATCATTTGGGGACCACACGGTGTGCCATCTTCCACATAGCCAAGATCTACATCTTCTTCCAGCCTAACATGCCCACCACTGAAAATAAATCAAGAGCAAAAAGAAAATGGGATTCCATTAATTCACATTCATTTTGAGAATATGCTTAAAAACCAAAAAGTGGGCAATATCCGTTTCTCTATTTTCTGTATATAATCTCATAAAAACCAATAATAAGCATTTTCAACCTCTAAATCAAGAAAGTAATTGAATCTTTTGATCTAATTCTTTTCAGAGATATTGATATATTTTAGGATTTAAACAAAATTATAACAGGTCCTGAATTGAAATGGCTTTCTCATTTTGCCTTGGATATCATGTACAAGTCAAGTAAGCCATTATTACTAGTATTTGATTCGATAAGTTGGTTTCAACACTTCAAATGTTTGGAACAAAAATGAGAAGTGATTTTGGTTTACAATTAAAAAAAAAGTGCTATATTTACAATTTATATTTGAGAATGGCTAAACTATTATAACTTCACTATTCAATATAGCAAGTCTACATGTAATGTAGGAATAACAAATTAAACACAATAGAAATTGAAAATGGATATTCATAGTCAATTTATCAATATGGTGCTATGTCAATGCTAGTACAAAAATCTCCATTCTTTTTATTTTTATCAAAATTATACATGCATATAGTTTAACAAGTTGAACAGATAAATTAGTTTTTTAAAAGCCAAAATCTCCACTCAAGCTGTGTCTGAACATCAGTTCCTCTTCCAGTAGAAACCTTTCCTGGAGTTCCCATCTGGACTTCCCCCTGCGCCTATCTGATCTGGTTGTGCCCCGTACCTGGTACAGAGCTGTACATCTTGGGTCTCCCTTCACCTTCACCGGAGGACAGCCCTCACAGTGGGGGCTTTATTCCTAAATTCCCTGCCTTTCTCTTAGTTTACTCCTTCATTTTGGGGAATCACAATTTCCAGTAGCTTCCTGATAAAAGGTTTAGGGGAGTAAATTTGGGGGAAACCTGCGCATCTACAAGAGTCATTATTTTCTACTCTCATCCTTGATTGATATCTTGCCTTTGTACAAAATTCTAGTTTGGAAATCACTTTCTCCATTGTCTTCAAGCTCCCAGGGCTCTTGTTGATAGACCCTAAGCTATTCCAAGGCCTGATCTTTTTTTCCCCCTCCTCTCTGGAAACATTGGCGATTCTTTTCTTTGTCCTAAGGTTCTGAAATTTCATGACGATATGTTTAGATACGCCTCTAATTTCATTCACTGTACATGGCACTTGATGAGCCTGTCAATATGGAAATTCAATTCCATCAGTTCTAGACAATACTTTTGAGTTACTCACTGATGATTTCCTCCCTGTTCTTTATTATCTTCTCTGTTCTTTATTTTCTCTATTCTTTATTATGTCTATTCCAATTTCTCTATATGTTTGTTTCTTTCCCTCTGATGCCGTACTTTCTGGGAGATAATTTCAACTACTGAGTTTAATTTCTGCCATCATATTTTTAAATTTCCAACAGCACTTTTTCCCTTCTTGAACATTCTTCATTGTTTAAAATAGCACTTTATTCTTCTTTCATGAGAGAAGTATCTTTCATAAATATTGATAGGTGGTGGTTGTTTTTTTCTAGGTGGATGTTTTTATCTTTTTTTCATGTTAGGAAATTTCTTCACATGTCTGATAATCTGCTCATATTTGAGGAGGGTGAAGAGACAGATGTTTAGAAATTCTAGAGCTTTCTGACTAAACATCGAAACTGTACTGCTTCCATACAATGTTACTATCAATATTGTCTGCTATTCTTCAGTCTGGAAACCTTCTATTTTACTATCTCAGAATATAAAGCTCAAATCTTTCATGGGAGGGTGCCCAGTACCCAGTTTAGCTGAGTCAGGGAAGTGATCTGTTAGTGCTTCCTTAACAGACTTTCAACTATCTTCTCTATTAGCCCTTCCCTGCCCCTTAATCCTTTACTCCTTCTTACAGAAATAAGTGATGATGCCCATTTTTGAGCTTTTTGGGAACTGACAGTATATTCTGGCTTAGTTCTCCATTTTCCCCATTAACTGACTTTGGAGCTCCGTTTTTGTAGTTTTGATAGTCATTTGTAACACATCCTTTTGCTTCCCACACTCCAAAATTTTGTTGCTATTGTCTCCTCTCCCTTTCTCTGCCTCCTTGTGGATATGTGAATTCTAAAAAGATTCATTTAGTGTCACTTTAGTGGGATTTCAGAAGGGAGCAAAAGAAGATATATATATTTAATCCACTAATTTTATCCAGAAGTTCTCATTTGTTTTCCTTGATAAGAATTAAATGTAAACTAAACCCTAATTCTTATATTCATTTCATCTCATTTCTGTCAGGATTTATGCATTTCACTGTATGGGCTAGATTCGATTTTGGCTTACTAACATTCTCATGAACTGGAAATACGAGTAATCCTAAAATGCACGCCTCAGAAGTGAGATGACTAATATTCCCACAGAATGGTTCGATGATTACCTGCAGTTTAATGTTCTTCCCTGCTGCACAACTAAAGTAGATGTGATTTCACCATCCAGTTCTCCAAGCCTTGGGATATTACCAATATTGGCACACAAAAGGTAACCACAAAGCACATCCCTGTATTAAAAGAGTACCAATTACTTACTTTACAACCATGTCCAGTTAGAACAAGTATCTTATCTCATTTTAGCATTTGCTTTTCATCTATATTATATTATTATTATATTATATATTATATTATATTATATTATATTATATGCTCAAGTTACAAGCAAAATAAAATAAGCCCAAATTAGTTTAATCCAGCTTTAAAAAGTGTTTTCTCTGAAACATTGATGCACCAAAATCCCAATTTTTTTTTTGGCCTTGCATTACTGCCCATTAGCTCAAATATTCATCTAAAGGAAATTATCCATCAAACAGACTTCTGTTTTATCAGAATCTCTATCCCTATAACACATCACTGGATATATTAAAACATTTTTTAATATTTGATAAGTGAATGAATGACCTTGGATGAGTATTCTTTTGTAATACAGCTCTTTCTTCAACTTTTTGCCTCAGAATTAAAGAAGAGATACATATTGTATATACAAGTACATATACATTTTATAGATTCTCAACCATATAGGTTCATAATCCCTTCTTCAATATACTTGTATTTCACTACTTCCCCAACTATCACAGATAATTCTAATTTAACCTGTAAAATGTTTTCACTGGTATTAAATACTATCTTACATATTCTCATATCTAACACATTTTAATTATTAATATAGATAATGATAAACACATATTCTAATAAATATCTTGTTAGTAGCCCAGCATAACTGATTAGTAGGCCAGAAAAATTATGTATGGAAATACAAGGCTTTATCAGGAAGAGAAAAGAGAAAAATTAGAACTTATATCTATCACCAACACAGAAAAAAACTCTTAAAAAACTGATACTTAAAAAATAATTTTGAAAAGTTCAATTATCATTTTATTGATCTGTCATAAACAAAAATGATTTCTTAACACAGAAGAGATATTCAATCAGCATTTTTTGAGTGTAATTTTTGTGTATGTAGCTTACTAAGTATTTTAGAATATATAAAGACAATTAGACATGATTTTTGTCCTCAAGGAAATTATATGCTGGATAATAAAATAAATCACATGCATAAACAACTATAAAACAACATAGTTGTGGGGATAAGAATAGTACGAAGGGCTGTGGAAATTAAGAAGAGGGAGACGATTTATTTCTAGAGTAAATCCAGAAACAACTTACAGAGAAAGTGCTGTCTCAGCAGATCTTTGAAGAATGGGTCAAGTTTTGACTGGTAATAAAGTGGGTATAAAGAGTGCTTCTAGAGGAACGAATAGCACAAGCACAGGTATGGAGGCAGGACAATATAATGAACATATAGGGATGTAAAGTTTGCTGGACTTCGGAAGAGAAGAGAAATAAAAACAAAAAAATTGAGGTCGGGGGCAAATTGTGGAGGAGGTACAGTGCCCAGCTAAGGTTTCACTGTGTTTGTTAAACAAAACAGTATGACATTCAACAAAGTGGTTAAAAGACAGTGGCGAAATCAGACTGACTGAATTCTAATTCTGCTTGTATTAGATCCTTGTTATGTGACCTTGGTTCAATTATTTAACTGTGCCTCAGTTGCCTCCTCCACAAAATGGGAAGAACTGACATAAAGATTAAAACACATAGCTTATGTAGAGCACAATACAGTGCTTAGCACACAGTGTGCACTCAATCAATGTTGGGTATTATTCCTATTATTAATTAGCTACATGGAACCAGTGAAATTTGAACAAAGAATTGACATGCCAAAAACATTCGGTATAAGATTATTCTGATGACAGCCTTCTAGAGACTGCTGGCATAAAAAACTATTAAGAGGCCTCTGTAATAGTTGAAGAGTTAATATAGTTCGTAGTTGGGTCCTTAATATAGGTCCTCAATGCAACAGGAATGGAAATGAAGGGGTGAATTAAAGACAAATGGCAGGGGAATAAAAGGGAAGAATAGGCATGATTTGGCCGTTTGGACAATGTGACAAAGGGAAGATGGAGACAAGGATTATTCTCAGGCTTCTAAACAGAAGGACAGCGAGATATTAAGACCTTTGGCAAAAACAGTGCTGTAGAAAAGTCAGTGCCAGTTAACTTGAATACATGTTCTGGGGGCTTCAATGTGTGTTGCTGTTGAGATGCTGGCAGCTGTCTTCTAGGTGAGAAAGTCCCGAGGCAGCTATAAGCTAACTTGGGGCTTAGGAGAGAGGTCAGTATACACGTTAAGATTTGGGATCCCTGGACCGGCCGAGTGGCGCGCTAGTTAAGAGTTGGCTTGGGGGCTGGCCAAGTGGCGCGTTGGTTAAGAGCTGGCTTGGGATGCCAGAGGGCCCTGGTTCGGAGCCCACATATGAGGGCCAGTGACACTGCCCTCTACAGCTAAGATGCTGAACAACAGCTTGACCTGGAGCTGGGCTGCCATGAGTCCCCCGGGGCACTGGCATAGGCTGCAGCACTTGCTGCAGTGGGTTGCCTTGAGCTACTGTGAGTGGCCAGCAGCCGGCGTGAACTGCCAAGAGCCGCCATGAGCAGCCGTCCAAAGGCCGGCAAGCAACTGCCTCACCCTGGACGAGTGCAATGATAATACCAACATGGGCCTGTGAAGCGACGTCCTCCACAACTAGACTGAAGAACAAAATGACAGCAACTTGTCTGTTCCCCTTCCCCCAATTCCTCAATAAAACCTTTAAAAAAAAAGATTTGGAAGCCTTCTGCAAAAATGATGCTGGAATGCTGGGAAGAGATGAATAGGCAACACACTGCTTTGTGGGATGCAGAAAACAGGACAGTCTTGGTCACTTAAAAAGTAAAGTTTGAAATTAAGGAATAAGCTCGGGGCTAACGTGTCCATCTCACCGTTTGTTGCACTGTATCCAAGTGTCTTTGTCTTTCCCACAGTTTCCCTTCTCGGTCCCTTCGATATTCAGTTTCTCATAGCAGTATCTGTCTGATGACATTACCTCTGCAGCAGAACAGAGTTTTCTATCAGTAACAGATACAATATATGAGCTGCTCAAAATGTTTGCAGTCGGGCAAATACCCATTTAAGGGCCCTTCTCCACTACGACGTTATCAATTCCAAAATTGTACCCATGGTTCACAAGAGTTTTCTTATTCTGCAGACATCCATGACTCACGTACATTTTTCATGAACGCTCATTTGAAATTTGGGAAAAAAATCTATTTAGATCTTCGATAGGATACATATAGGTTCCAAAACAATACTCCTCAGAATTTGGCCAATAATTAGGGGAAGATCCTACCAGATGGCTCCTTGAATAAATACTCCACACTTTAATCTCGGTGCCTGAGACTAAAGGCATGAATTTCTCACTCAATAGTTTTATGAATCATGAAGACAATTTTATTAAAATAGCGATGCACTATAATTAATGATTCAAGAAACATTGGTTCAATTTCTCCCTTGTTTAATAATTCTTAACAGCTAGCAACAATAAAAAAAACAACTTTATTTTGCTTTTAGACAAACTTGAATTCATGCAGAATCTCTGACAGTGAAATAAAATTTTACATTATGTCATCATCTTTGTCAGGTTTTATTTTTGCTAAAACCAGGGTTGGTTGATTAAGTTATTCAAGAGCTAGATCAAAATGACTTTTGCAAACTAATCAAAAGACGACTGCTGTGTATATTTAAAAAGAAAATAATAATTATGTTGGTACTTTCTTTTCGTACTTCTTTCTGTCAGCTACTATTTTTTAAGTGGAGGAAACAAAAATTATATCTTTGTCCAGAGTACAAACCTCCAAGACTAAATATTCCCCCACCCCAATATTTCTCTAGATGCTCAAAAGAAAACATACACTTCCCCTCCCAAAAAGGCTATAACCACTGTTTGTGACAATATGGATTTTTATTATCTTTATAGCTTGCTTTCTAATACAAACTGTCTTCTGAAAGAGTTTTAAAGAAAAATAGCTTTCAAAGGGCTGGTAGTACTTCTGGAAAAAATATACAACATTTAAATACATATCTCAATAGAGACATAATTTAAATAATATATTTTTGATGTAAATGTTATATAATTCCCTCTGAAAATCTGACAACTTTGAATGGAATAACATTAAAATTTCCTTCTGATGCGGCAGAGCTACCTCAGCAGAAGGTCACCTATAAGTAGGAAAGCCAGCTAGACTTGAAGGAAGGTTGTTGAAGAAAAAACAACTCCAGCAAAACTACAGTTCTAAGCCCAGCGAGCCCTATCCAGGGTCCATGTCCATCCCACATGGTTATATGGGTTTTGCTTGAGAATACTCAGCCGAGGGGAGTGTAAGTGGACCTGAAGTCCAGGTTTGCTTTATTCTCCACACTGTACATCCTGAAGTGGCCTTCACTTGCCTGGAAGCAATGGCACCTTCTGTCTTATCCAAAGGCATGGCCAACTAGCCAACACGTAAATATGGCTGTGTCTTCTCAAAGGAGTGACCTTCTCTAATTTCCACAGAAGTGTCCCTGCTAAGACCTGTGGTGGTTTCAAGAATCCCTCACTCATAAAGTGGTTGAAAATTTCCTTCCAGCTCATATGCCCGTTGGTCTGACACTATACTTTGAAATAATCAAGCCACATCATTTACTTACTTTGCCCCCAGATGTATTTGCATTGTCTATCCCTGGTTTTACATCTTCCTCCAAAGCAAATTCCCTAAAATGGAAGAGCACACGTATTAGCTTTGCAATGTCTGTTTTTGTCAGATAACTGAAAAAGTAAATATGACTGGGAGAATTAGTAGATGAGCACTGTGAAGGCCTTTTATCCTCAGAATTGATTACAAAACATCTAAAGTGACCTTCTTATTTTGATAAGATTTCAGTATTTCTTTCTTGCTGACATACATGAAAAATTTAGGTAAACATGAAGTAACCTACCTGAACACCATCGCATGAATATCCATCCATTTTATGAATATTCGGGGCACACTAGCAAAAGAAAACAGAACTGTGATCAAAATACCAGGATGAACTAATCCCTTCAACGTTTTCATTGTAAACATAAAGTCTGATATATGTTTAGTCTCTTAAAATATCTGAAAAGAAAAGCAAAACAGATCAAGAGAAAGCACAAGGAATTATGAAATTACAATTGGCACAATTTCCTCTAAAAATTTCAATCTATCTGAGGCAAAAATCATTGATTACACAGCAGCAAATAAAAACAATTGACAGCAATGACTCAGCTAATGCTAAAATTTAAGACATTTTGCTTAATACAGATACACTATTCCTCAGAGCAAGGAAAACAAGAGCATAAAACAAAAGCAACGAGAATGCCAACATACAATAGATGAAGCAATAACTGTATTTCCTCTTTGTGATCATGAGAAGTAACCCAGCTCTTACATGTAAAATGACTCTGGAGCAGAAATCTGCTTAGGGTGTGTTATTATAGAAAAGACATGCTTTAGAGCAACCCCCTTTTTTCCCCTTGTAGCAAGTGCAGAAAATTGCAAAGCTTTCTTGTATAGATATAAACAATCAGTAATTTTAAAATTTATTATACATTTTCTATCATTATAGTAATTATACATTCATTTGAGCAAAGTTAGAAAAGATGAAAAGGTTTTTTTAAAAAATGAAAGATAAACGTATTTCAAATCCCCATCACCCAAAGACAACAATTTTTTACATTTTGGTACATTTTTTTCTCTACCTTTTTCTACAAATTTTGGTATTTTTTAAACATAAGTATCATCAAGGTATAGATAATATTTATATTCTGTTTCTTCCCTTTACTTTGTCATACAAATTTCATGTCATAATACGCTTTTTTGTAGGTATCATCTTTAATAGTTGTAGCACACCGCATCGAGCTGACCAACCACACAACAGGCTCCTTCTCAGAACCCAATGCCTGGAGGGTCTCTCTACCTGGGCTAACTCGTTTCCACCAGCTGAGTCTTTTTGTTTCTTCCTTCACTAATTAGACAAAACCATATAACCAACGTACTTATTAACTTAGAAATACAGTAAGTCCTCACTTAACATCTTAGATAGGGTCTGTGACTTTAAACAAAACAATGTATAATGAAACCCATTTTAACATAGGCTAATTGATGTAACCAAGAGTTAAGTTCCTAGGGCATCTCATCAATGTTATAACAAAATGATGTCGAACGAAACACATTTCTTCGAGGACCTGCTGTATCTCCAATTTATGCTGTTACAACTAATGCAACAAGAACACCTTTGCACACCCATCATTTCACTGTACCCTCATCATCACTAAGTGTTAGTTTAGACACAATGCTAATTACAGATAAGAAAGGAAAAGGCCTTTACATGAAAAATCTTTCATGTATTAGGATGACTATCTTTCAAAGAAAGCATTTTCAATGGTTAATGTAGACAGACAACTACCAAATCCCTCTTCTCTAGAGGAAAAAATATGCAGGCAGTCCTAGCTTTGCATGGTTCCAATATGCATAAATTTCAGTTACTAGGGTTTTGTTAAAAATCACTAGCACCCCAAATAACACATTTCCACCTTCAGTTACCATAATATATTAACTGTGAGTAACTGCATAAAGCACAAACTTTACTATGAGCTCTTCAGTCCACTGATCACTGGATGCCTTAGTAACAGGTGCCCATCATGGCGAATAACCCACCTTGTCACTTCTTTCGAAGCCTCTCAGGGATTGGTCACTTGTCATCTGTTTATTCAGTTCACACACAGACAATAAAGTATGTAGTTGTGCTGTCTCCCTGTCTTTGGGTAATAACATGTGACATTTTACAAAATGGGATAATCAAAAGAGGGAGGGACTTGGCCAACAAAGATGAAAGTGCAGCAAAAGAAAGAGAGAGAGAGAGAGAGA